CTTTGCCAGATTTTTCGTTTCATGATGCGCCAAATGTTTTCTATTGGTGAAAGATCTGGACTGCAGGCAGGCAAGTTCAACACTCGGACTCTTCTTCTAAGCCATGCTGTTGTGATGGATGCAGTATGTGGTTTAGCATTGTCTTGCTGAAATATGCAAGACCTTCCCTGAAGGAGACGCTGTCTGTATGGCAGCATATTGCCAAAACCTGTACATTTCGTTCAGCATTAATGGTGCCTTCACAGATGTGCAAGACACCTATGTCATGTGCACCAGTGCTCCCCCATACCATCATGGTTGCTGGCTTTTGAACTGTGTGCTAATAACAAGCTGGGAAGTCTTTACCCTGGAGGATGCAGTGTCCATTATTTCCAATTTCAAATTTAGATTCACCACAGTTTGGGCCACAGGACATTTTTCCACTTCACCTCAGTCTGTCTTAAATGAGCTCTGGCCCAGAGAAGTTGGTGGCGTTTCTGGATCACGTTTATATGTGGCTTCTTTTTTGCATGATACAGCTTTGACTTGCATTTGTGGATTGCACAGTGAACTGTGTTCACAGACAATGATTTCTGGAAGTGTTCCTGAGCCCATGCAGTGATTTCCAGTACAGAATCATGCCTGTTTTTAATGCAGTACTGCCTGAGGGCCCAAAGATCACGAGCATCCAATATTAGTTGCAAATTGCTCCTCCAGCTGTTTTTTATTAGTACCACTTACTTTTCCAGCCTTTTGTTGTCCCTGTCCCAACTTTTTTTTGATGCGTTGCTGCCATCAAGTTATAAATGAGTTAATGTTTTTCATGAAATGGTAAAATGTCTCACTTTGAACATCTGATATGTGTTCTGTGTTCTATTGTGAATAAAATATGGGTCTATGAGATTTGCAAATCATTGCATCTGTTTTTATTTAGACTTATTTACATTTTACACAGCGTTTTTGGCATATATATAAATATTACAAATCAATGCTATTGCTTATATTGAATCCACATATGTGCTTTTATTACACTAACATATATCTGCATATATTTGTATATATTTAAATATTCAAAATGGCATATTTTAATGTATTTACTGCATGAAATCTATAACATTGCATATCGTGAATATATATTTTTAATATAAGTAAATATAAGTACGTATATTTTCTTTCAGATAGACTGGCAGCCAGTAGGTTCTTCAATATGTAAAAATATTAGAAAAAAATATATTGACCATCTCTATTTGGAGGAACTGAGGTCATAGATGATGGGTGGATGCACTGGCCCAAATCAAGTTACCACTGAAGTCAGTTTTATAATTGGTAATGCATTTTAATCATTTTCCAAGTATCCCCTGTATTTCTCACTGTGCCCACCTGTGTTGGATGTTCTGGTGTAGCTGGTGACGCCCACTAAGAGTCATCATGTGGCAAACGCATAACCATTTCGGGCATTGTGATTCGTGACTTGCACCCCCTCCATTTAATTTGTAGAATCCTTGGATTGAGCTGACTCACAAATAGAGGCTTTCAGCTTCTCTGTATGTTCAGTTGATTTGGACTGAATTTAAAATGCTTGTGTCTTCCATAAAACAGGAGGCAATAAATGCACTGCTGTCCTCTTTTGCTTGTGGCTGTGTGGAAAACAATGACTTTATCTCCTTACAGGAAATTCTAAATAAGGTAGGATCCTGATCCTTTGTGTTGAAGGGGAATTCCACAAATTTTTAAACTTTCTGAATATTTCAGTCCTTGAAATATAAACAGAGTCATTCAGAGTGGTTTGATAAGAAATGGTTCACTATAGAGAAACTTACAGACTTACAGGCTTTAAAGTGGTGGTGACAGGAAACAGGGGTCACAATGTCTGCAACACAAATATAGCTATTTTATTTACTATCCAAATCCACCAGTGAAACTACACGTGTCTTCTGAGTTTTGCATGTAATGTTAATGGTAAAATAGTAATAAATTTGAAAAAACAAGTTTTCTATGGGGACTATTTTGGCTTACAATGGCCTGCATGTATCCCTCCATTGTGGACAGAAATAAATAGATTAAAATACATTTTAGGCCAAAACTTTATGATAAAACAGTGTGTCAGACATCAGGCGACTTATCTCTAACCAACTTTCTGTTAAGAAGCTTTCAAAGGTTTAAAACTCCTAAGACGTCTGGTTCCTATCACCACCACTGTGATGGTTTCTCTACAATGGAGCATTTCACACCAACCACTCTGAATGACTTTGTATACATCTAAACCACTTAATCACTTAAGTTTCCCTTTAAGAAAAGGCCCATTCTTGGTCATCTGTGTACCCACCATTTTTGGTGGATACACAGTCAGACTGATTCCACACCCTCTGTCTTTTTGCACTGTCTACACTTATCTCACTTCTGTGGTTCATTAGTGGTCAGATAAATAGAGTGAATCACATGGAAATTGAATGAATAACTATCTTTCTTCTCTGCAAATTGAATCAGTGCATGTAACTAGATTTGGTTTTGCAACCTGGAACATCCATTGAAACCCCTCAAGACTTGGCCCCTCATTTGTAGTCAGCTAGAGTAACCCAGCTGCAAACTGACTGCTGCTAACATCTACTAACCCTTGCTCATGACAATTCTTGTTAATGGAAGAAACTGTGATGTTTCTGTATGTTATACTATGTGCATTGTACATTCTTGAACTACTGCTGGGCGATATATCATATATACTAGTGTATCGTGATATTGACCTATCATGACACCAATTTTCAGTTTTAGTGATATTGATATATAATTAGTGTTCTATACATGATAACACCCTGTTCCAAATTGCAGGGTCTTTTCTTTTCTTTTCTTTCAATACTATTTGATGCACTATATACATTATTATACATATCCAAGACCTGTCAGTTAACTGCATTGTTATTAGCTTCATATTCTTTTGAAAGAACAGTTCAGAATACATAAAAACTAACATAACACATTTCCTTTTCTTAAATTGTGGGTTCTGTCTAGTTAACAAGTACTGTGTAAGGTTCGCAGCGCTGTCGCCTCACAGCAAGAAAGGCCTGGGTTTGATTCCTGGCCGGGCGACCAGGGTCATTTCTGTGTGGAGTTTGCATGTTCTCCCCGTGTCTGCGTGGGTTTCCTCCGGGTACTCCGGTTTCCTCCCACAGTCTAAAGACATGCAGTCAGGCTGATTGGACATGCTAAGTTGCCCCTAGGTGTGAGTGTGTGTGTGAATGTGTATGTCTGTCTGTCTGCCCTGCGATGGACTGGCGACCTGTCCAGGGTGTATCCTGCCTTCCGCCCAATGACAGCTGGGATAGGCTCCAGCACCCTACCGCGACCCTGAAGGATAAGCGGTTTAGATGATGTGTGTGTGTGTGTGTGTGTGTAAGGTTCTGTTTGACATGTTTGTAAGGCATTCTTTTGGCATAAAGTCTTTTGGGCTGATTACTACTGCAAACTTAAATGTCATCTGATACCATGATGGCGCAGTGGGTAGCGCTGTTGCCTCACAGCAAGAAGGGCCTGGGTTTGATTCCCGGCCGGGTGACCAGGGTCCTGTTTTCCCTGTGTCTGTGTGGGTTTCCTCCGGGTGCTCCGGTTTCCTCCCACAGACGTGCAGTCAGGCCAGTTGAACATGCTAAATTGTCCCCTGTCTGTCTGTCTGCCCTGCGATGGACTGGCGACCTGTCCAGGGTGTATCCTGCCTTACGCCCAGTGACAGCTGGGATAGGCTCCAGCACCCCACCGTGACCCAGAAGAATAGATGGGGTGTGTGTGATATTATGATAGTGAATTTTATTAATATCACACATCATTGTCATTAATATACAAATGAAAGAAAGGTGAGAATATTTGAATATGTAACTTCACTTATAATATTTATGCCCAGATGGATAAAAATGCTGCAGATTATGATGGTTTTAAGCCCATGCACACCGAGCCTGTCAGAAAGGGAAATTTGCCATGGTTAAGTATCTGATGTCTACAATAGGAACAATCGAGCTCACAAACCGACATGGGTGCACCCCTCTGCACCTTGCCATCAAAGATTTTCTGTACTATATGTAACCCATATTCTGTTAGCTACAGTAGGGTGTTTTAATCAGAGATTAGCTTTACAATAACATTAGAATGTAAACTCTGTAAATAAGAGCTTTGATATGTGTATGTGGGTTCAGCCCATGGCACTGATTTTTTTTTTCAGGCACTTTAATATAATCAAGATCTTAAAGTCGAAGGGAGCAACTACTACTCTGCAGCCACAGATAATTGCCATGGACCTTATCAAGTCCGTTTCAACCTCTTTCTTTGTTCACAATCTTCTTTTAAGTGCTTCTGTAAAACTGGTAGTTTGTTATCTTTTTCCAGGGCAGTCAATACAGCAGACCATCATCTTTTTCGTGCCTGGTATTTGGCTAGTGCGAACATGGACCAGGAGGATTATAACAGCAGGACTGCTCTGCACACCGCAGTGAGGAACAAAGACCTGCAAATGGTGGCCAAACTGCTGCAGTATGGTACTATCCCTATGGTATACAGCACACAAATACAGATCATAGATGTGTGTTTGCCATATATCGGTGACATGTTTGGTACTGAAATCAAGATCTTAACTATTTTCCGAAATCTGTGTTGTTTAACTAGTCAACCCTTGGTCTTCTTTGTCTGTCATCTCTCTTTTAGGCAAAGGATAAATGCGGACAGACAGCCTTGGATGAGGCTAGAATGAACAACATGTCCAGCATCTTAACACTGTTTAATCCAGGCTTCACTGATATTCTCAACACCCAGCAAGATTGTTAGCTCTGCCTTGCCAGGCAGGTTGTGACAGAAGACAGTTACACATTCAGTTCACACTGGCACCACTTTATCCACAGTTCCATTATTCAGGTGTTTAACCTCAAATGCTGTCAACTTTATATAAAAATCCGTGAATGACGTTTCAGATTCACACATACCAGAAGAACAACATTAAACACCCAAAGTCTAGTGAATGTGCACAAAGACCAAGACCAGTCTGAAGTCGGTAAAATCCAGTTTAATCAGGAAAAGCATTTTATACATTTAGTGATTTGGTCATTAGTCCAAGGCAATGTAGATTAGAATTCTGTCCATGCAGAATTTGTATGTTTCATACGTCAAGTTAACATGATCATGTTACCTTGAACAGATTTTGGTCACTTTGCTTTCACAGTTTTAACTGAGTGTGTTCCAGAAAAAATGGCATTATTGGTAGAATGTCTGGTCTAGTAGACATAGCTGGCTGTGTAGAGGGACTGTGTGGCAGCCTTGTCAGCCTGGCCTGTGGGCTTGTACTCGCCTTTAGATGCCAGACTGTTAATCTGTGGGGGGGGAAACAAAAGTGTTATCAACGTGCCAGGTCTGCATCTGCTGCTTCATGCAGCATTTGTTTTCTCATACAGAGTCACTCCCGCCCAGACTGTGTGGTCGTAAATGTGACTGAAGACCTTACAATGTAGCTCTGTTTTTGTTTTATTGAGAATACCCAGAACAAAGGGACAGGCCATAGTAGGGACTGCTTCAGAAGCAATACAACCATCTCAGCACTGTGTAACCCTTCTAGTCCCCTCTGGGCCCTGATATGACTATAAACTAGATGGTCTAGAGTCATCGCTCACCTTAGCACGAGTGACGAAGGCCTCCTGTGCAGCCTTCCTGTTTTCCGCCTTTCCCTTCCATGCTGCAAGGGCTGAAGCCTGGAGAGCACGGCCATAAGAGAAGGTCAGCTTCCAAGGTGTGTGCAGTGGAGTCTGATTGATGGCGTTCAGGTTGAGTGAAGCTTCCTCCTCACTCTGGCCTCCCGACAGGAAGCAGATGCCTAACCCAGACAAAAAGGTGTTCAATAAGTAACGATGAAAACAAATCAGTTATTTGCTAAGAAATCTTCCAAAAGGCTAAAGCTTTCTTTTACCTGGTACGGCAGCGGGTACGGTACGTCTGAGGGCACTGACGGTTGCCATGGCAACCTCTTGTGGGGTATACTTCTTAGGGCAGGAGTGTCCGGCTGTGACCATGTTGGGCTTGAGCAGAGTGCCCTCCAAATAAACGTGGTGGTCAGACAAGGCCTTGTATACAGCAGCAAGAACCTGAAGAAACAAAAGGGAAGTCAAAAGACAGTGTCAGGTTCCAAGCCTGTAAAGTGCATTTTATAATCCCATCATCTTTTTTGGTAGACCTTTTACAGTGTCATCTTGGAGCAAGCTCACCTTCTCTGTAGCGTACTGGCAGCGCTGCAGGTCATGATCTCCATCTGGAAGAATCTCAGGCTCAACAATAGGCACCAAGCCATTCTGAGAGAATGAAGAGAAAGATACTGAAAAGAAGATATTGAAAATTGAAAGGAAGCATTTTATAGGGGAGAGTACACCAAATGCACTCTGAAATGAATGCTCCGGTTTCAGACTCATCTGAGAGGGGCTGGGGTCTATGAAGTGAAAACCACTTTGGAACGTTTTTCTCTCAATATCATTTTTTTCCTTCTTTCTCACATCAGCACCAGCTGTTCTTGTCGCATCCGGGAATGCACAGGCTAGCACATGGGTCCTCTGTTCCGCATTACTGCTACCATTATCTTTTTAAATTAACAGCAATGCAATACTGAGGAGCACCTGACTACACACAAGTGTAGACAAGTCCATCATGTCCCCTTATTTCCCTTTCAGACAGTGGACATTATGCTTATTATGACCCACAGGGTTGGAACTGTGTGATTAGTCAGCAGCTATGAGAAAGTATCTTTGCAGACCCATTTGCCCTTGGTGGATGAAGAACATGCGTCAAATTTTCGCTGCACTTTCCCATGGCTGCTTATTATTACCCCATTTGGTGTTTAATGTAATAAGCAAATGGCTGTTGGGTAAATAAGGTGAGCAGATGCCAGACGAGCAGTGCTTTTACCACTTGGGCTAGAGTCAAAAGAAATTATGCCAGAAGAACAAAGCCAGTTTGTGCTGTGGGAAGTACCTGTTGGCAGATGCTGGCATATCTGGCGAGTACATTGGCGTTTTCAGCAATGGCAAGCGCAGAGGGGCAGCTGTCAGAGATCTTCAGCACACAGCGCCACTTAACGAAGTCACAGCCGTCCTTCTTGTACTGAGCACAACGTTCAGACAGACCATCCAGTCCTGAGGGACACAGACATTAAGATGTCAATTAAAAGCAGACAGACTTTCATACTAGTGGAAAGTTTACATTGGACACTGGACACCAATATACCCGAGTTTATGGAGTGTGCAGTGTGCATATGAAGGTAGAGAAAGACAGAACTCAAAGATAGGAATTTGGGAGGTTTGTTTATCTCAAGGATAGAAATGTGGGAAGTTTGCATATCTTTGTCAAACAATACTGTACTTCTGATATTTTTCAAAAACCTATTTGTAAGTCCTTTTAAGTCCTTCCATTTCCCTGTGGGCTGATGTTCACTTTCTAATCATACATTATATTATTTAGTGTAAAAATATTTTTTTTTGGCTTAAAACCACTGTAAAACAATTGTAAGGGATCTAGTCCCAGATTCAGCACTTTGCTCTATTTGCATACTTTCAAACCCCTTAAATAAAAACAGCATTTTTCCAAAACCCTGAATAAAGGACTGATTTGTTTTACTTATTGCCTGCCCTCTAAGTCTCCTTGCATCAGTGTGCATGTTAGTGCCCAAAATCCTAAGGTACAGAATGTTGTGCTGAAGTGTTCAGCATGCATCTATGCATTACATCATGTTAGATTTACCCTGTGTTGTTGTCTCTCCATCTGTTCCATTCAGTCCTGCTGTGCCTTTGTCCACCTAGTGACACAAGAGCACAGAGCCATATGATACATGATAGACAGCAGGACATTTCCAGACACATATGACACATTGGGATGAGTTTCAATTGACTGTCTCTACTAACACTGCCAAGAACATGCTTAACATTTGTGTGGAAGACTGGCCTTATATATTTAGCACAAATTTGTGTCTTGAAAACAGGTCCAACCTGTTCCATACGTAGAACATAAACAGCCTCATGATGAAGTGAAGGAAGAAAGAGAGTGAATAACAATGCTATTGTGCAATCACTCCACGCGCACTTTGGCCCACTGACCAAGCAACTGCTGATCAAGTGTTCATGCAAGTGCGATCATGCAAGTATGAATAAAGAAAAACTTATTAACTTGCTTATTAACAGAATGGTCACAGTCTTTCGCAAGCAGTTCTTTGCCGTAAATGACTGGCTTTGGAGGGAATAACTGCATAAACACAGCAACTGATCTTGCACACGTATGTGCAACATTACCTTTATGCCCACAACAATGCCCTTCTCCTTGATGAGCTGGGGGAAGGGGACACCCTTGTCTGATTTCTGATACAGTGTCTCATGGAAGAAAATGATTCCTCCCACGTTCTCAGAAATGGAGGGATCAACGGAGAACAAGAGGTCACGGAAGTAGCGGCGGTTCTCCTCAGTGTTCTCCACGCTGATCTTCTGCAGGCGCTTTGCCATGGTGCCTAAAACATGAATTGTATGGTTGATTATTAAAAATAAAACTGATGAAGTGAGCTGTCTTGCGCTCCTAACAGCTAACAGCTACTGTTTCATGAGCTGTGGTTATTCATGCCCCCATAATCACAATTCCAGCAGTCATGAGGTTTGTCATACTGTCTGGATACACTATCATTTCCATCTAAATGAGGAGCAAATCTGGTTGGAAAGGGATGTCGTGTGAAGTATGAAGCCATCTATTCCCTGAAGTGGCATTTTTTCAAACTGAAATCCAGGCTGTGCTGTAACCATCTGCCACTGTGACTTTTAGCACTTACAGCAGCAAATCATCCCCATGAAGAAATAATGATTAACCAAGGTTAGACCGAGATACCACACTTTCTCACCTGTGGACTCATCTGCAGCCAGGATACCCTTTCCAGGGGCCACGATCCGCTGGGCGATAGTGGCCAGCTCCTTCTTCTGCTCTGGAGAAAGTGATGGGTACTGGTGGGTCATCCTGAAAAGACAGAGAAAGGAGACACATCAGATGAACTGAATTAAGAACCAAGTTATGATCTCCTGTTTATCAGCAGTGCTATTGTTAAAGCTGTGCTCTCTTGCAGGTTTAGCAAATATTTGGCCTGACCAGGCAGTTGAACTTCAGTCAAGGAGGCAGATAAACTTGCTCCTCCCTCTGACCAAACTCTTCCACAGACCTTCTCTTTAAGAAGAAGGCGGGCTGATCAGTGATCAGTTTCAATTCGCCTCTAAACCAGAGGTGGAGACAGATTTCAACAGACAGCCTACGTGTGCAACGTTGGCTGTGCTCTGGCAATGCGTTTCCTAGCTAGAGCTAAAAAGTTTCAATATGCCACTGTGCGAGGAATGCAGAAGTCAGCCGAACACTTTTTCTTATCCAAGAGAGTCCCACGACCATTTTGCAGTAATATATGGTGCAACATAGTAGCAGGTTACTTATTTTACTCTAAAAACGATCAAATGAAAAGCTAATGCATTCCAGAACAGCCGTGTATAACCGTTGACCGAGGCATATCAGTTACTAACAGTGTTTCTTTGCATGAACGACTGCAGCAGCGCTATATTCAAGCCTTATGGAAGTTATTAAGCACTCTTACTTGCTCGTTGGTAGGTCTGCACCGCAGGCGAGGAGGAGTGAAGCAGGCACTTGCTCTCTTGCTAAAGCCCCAGTTCAGGCTGCACCGAGCTACTGGAACAAACTGCTATTTATCCGCCCCAGAGGTGGGACGAAAACGCTGGGCGAAACGGGCGTGGGCTGTGAGCACTCTGACCATTGGCTAGAAGAGTGGCCCAGGGGCGTTTGACTAAGCCAGGCCAGAGCTGCAAAAGTCTAAATGTGTGGCTAAGCATGCTTCTCCACAGTTTAAAACCATTTTTCATATTTGCAATTTTGCAAAGGTCTTTTTTTGCCAGCTTACTGTTCGAACTTTCCGTTCCACCTTAAATCGTGCAGGCAGCGCTAAGATTCTGTCGCCTGTAGCCGCGCCAGAATGTAACTGCCGCGCCATTTAAGGTGGAACGGAAAATTCGAATAAGAAGCTAGTATATAAAAACTAACTTCGCCATTTTTTAGCTGTTTCCATTAATGACCATTGGCTAGAAGAGTGGACCAGGGGGGTTTGAGCACGAAGCTAGACCAGAGCTGAAAAAGTCTAAATGTGTGGTTAAGCATGCTACTGCTATATTTTCCCGTTTTTCATATTTGTGATGTTTTTGCCAGCTTCTTATTCGAATTTCCTGTTCCACCTTAAGCAGTGCCTCACTAACAGTCTGGCGCGTGTACAGGCGTATGTCATTGCCGCTCCATTTAAGGTGGAACGGAAAATTCGAAGCTGGTATATTAGAAAGCAGCCTAAACCTCGTCAGTTTGCAGTTTCCAGTCATGGTACATGAGCCCATATTTTGTAAGGCTGAAGTAAATGTAGGCCTACGTGCAAAACAACCAGAGGGCTCTTGTGGTGAATGTGATGTAGCAAAATACACGTAGCCATTTTTTAAAATGGTTCACTGAAAAATCATATTTACACAACTTTCTCCTCACCCCAAATGCAGCCGTGTTTGCTACACAGAGGTTTCTTCTGTAGTTTACACTGTGGCTCATTAAGTTAAATGAAGTCTATGTCACCCAAAATCTTTTCATTGACACAGATTTCTTTTATAATAGTCTTGTAGCTTCAGTGCAAAACTAAAAAAGCCACCAAACATGTCTTGGCTGATCAACTACATTTGGGGTGAGGGGGAAACTGTGTACATTTCTTTTCTGTAGAGCTTTTAAAAGCAGGAAATGAGAACTACAATAGACTTGCTGTTCAAGTTTTCTTGGTTTCTGCATTGCTGTACTCTCTGCTGTGAGCTGTGGTGTCATACTCCATGTTATGCAATAGACAAGTGATAAATGAATGTTTTAATAATGACCAAGCAGCACAAGAGCTACTCTCTTGACAAGGTCAAGCTTGCCGTAAACAGATCCTTCTGATAAGGATATGGTGTGATAAAAGGCTGATTGTTATTAAGGCAGATAATTTCTGATTTGTGCACTGTGTGCTATGAGTCATTTGGATGAGCTCTAAGGATTAATTTAAGATTCACGCCGCCTGCAGTTCGGCTCAGCAGTTTAGCAGAGTGACGATCCAAGAAAGGAGCCAGGTATGTATAGATTAGGGTGGAGTGGTGGGTGGAGGAGGATTGCATAGTAGTCTACGTGATCATATCAGTAGAAAAGAGATCATTGGAACTGAATGGGCCTGGGGGGCTGGGAGAAGAGCAAACAAAGAAATACTCGACAGTGATGTAAAAAGAGCTGACTGCTTACGTGCAGGCAGTTACCCCAATGGTAAAAGAAAGATGAGGTCTTTCACAATGTGGACTGTGGACCTGGGGCCAATAGTCTGAAAAACACTCGGGGCCAGAGTTCAAAACACTCTTGTTCATGCCTAGAGCACAGAACGTAATGCTGCAGACAGGCTGATCACTAAACTCTGGGCAGTGATTACGCACATATGCAGTGCTGTCTTGAACTTGAGCATTTATGCTATACGTAAAGCATTGGGAATGTTTTAACGTCATGCTAAAACAGTTGGCAGTAAGTTTGATGCAGTTTTGTAAGACACACACACACACACAATTCATATTTTATTACATTTTATTTTAGGTAGTTTGACTCAGCATAATTTAAGCTGTTTTCTTTTTTCCACTAAAGTAGTTTTAAGGATAAATTATTAATACTAAATAGACCAAATATTTAAATTACTTAAAAATTTATAATAATTTTGTATACATTTTGTAGTTTTAACTGCACAGAATTTAAGCCAGTTACATTTTTTTAATTTGAAGTAGTTTTGAGGATTTTGTTACACTTTAAATAGTTTGATTCTACAGCCTTTAAGCTAATTAAAATGTGTGATTATTTGTTGACCTAAATATAAGCAAATATAAAGACACAGATGTAAACATTTACGTTTGTTTATTTATTTTATTTAATACATTTTAAGTAGTTAAGTAGAAGACGCCCCTGAGAAAGTTGCGGCTGTATCACTTTTCCCCAAAACTCTTCTGCTCCGTCCAAAACCACATACAACTACACTAAATAGTATGTCAGAAATAGTACACCGCCACTAGAAGTCCATTCATCAGTGTAGTGCGTGTAGTGTGGTAGTGCGCGGTTTTGGACGCAGCCTTACGCTCTTTTTCTCGTTGAAAGGCGGTCCTACCAGCACTGGGTGGCGCTGCTGAGCTCGAGCTCGCCGCTGCGGGTCGGGTCCATTTCCGAGCGGTAGCTTTAGCCTGGCTCCGCTTAAATGATTCTCAACATCAACATTTAGAAATTCATCCGTTAAACACACCTAAGCGAGGTTGGTACACATAGCAGGAAAACCTCTTACACTCCTCCGTAAGGTGTGTGTTAGAGGGCGGTCTGCACTGGAGTTGTTTTTATAGCATTACGACTCGTTTCATTCGCTGTTATCATGTTAGCACGATAGCTAGTCGCATAGCAGTGGCTCGCTGATTGCGAAGAGCGAACCAGGTTTAAATTCGTTATACTATGAAATAAATACGACATTTTGTCAGTAATAAGCAGTACAACGTGTGCTATGGATGTTGTTATAGTTTCGAAACTCACTTCTAGTTTAGACTGTTTATTAAAGACGAGGCTAACGTTGGTTTCCTATTCGCCAGCTTCTTGTTTTCATTTCTCCGTTCCACCTTAAATGGTGCAGCAGTTACGTTCTGACGCCTCATGTTTCAGGACTCACGTCTAGTTTAGACTGTATTAAAGACGAGACCAACGTTGGTTTCCTATTCGCCAGCCTCTTGTTGTAATTTCTCCGTTCCACCTTAAATGGTGCAGCAGTTACATCCTGACGCTTCATGTTTCAAGACTTCTAGTTTAGACTGTGTATTAAAGCCACAGGCACCAGAAGGTAACTGCTGCAACATTTAAGGTGGAACGGGATAATCCGAATAAGAAGTGTTAAAGGGGTTAAACAGACAGGAACAAATAGCTGTTGGGTATCTAACGTTAATTCAGTAATTTTGTACTAAAGCACGATTTAGGCAGTGTTTACAGAAAAACAAATTAGAGTAGAGACTGAATAACAGTCTCTCAGTCGCATCCCTTGTGTTCATTTATGCCCAGCATCAGTTGAAGGCACTGTACACTGCAGCACATTGCTACGAACCATTTCCACGTCTTTCTTAACATTTTCATGTTTTCTTCTTATATTTCAGAGTCATGTCGGCTCAGAAGCGCCCCAGTGAGTCTGGGGGTTCAGGCCCTGCGGAGAAGCGCCGTGAGAGGGATGGAGGAGAAGAGGGAGAGGGGCAGAGCACCGGGGCAGCCGCCAGCACTGCTGTGGAGACTGTCATCAAACTGGGAGGCATCGCTAACTCGGTAAGACCTGGGTTCACCTGTGTGACAGCTCTTGCCACACATAGCTTTCCTTTTAGTTAGTGAATTCAGCTTATTTAAGGTGCATCTACTCGGTTGTGCACACACAGCATGTGTAATGTACATAAAGCATTGCTAATGGGATGGGACACTTTGGAGCATCCGAATGTGTCACCATGCCTAATGCCCAATGCCATTAGCTAGAGGGGTAAAACGCCCCTCAACAGGGCCGTGGAGCAGTGGAACTGCATTCTCTGGAGTGATTTAACTCCATCCAGTGTCTTTGGGATGAGCTGGAGTGACATTTGTGATCCACAACAAATCATCCAGCATCAGTACCTGACCCCACTAATGCCCTCGTGGCTGAATGCAGTCATGTACCAAAATCTAGTGTAAAGCGCAGAAGAGTACACGCTGTCACTGCAGCAAAGGGGGGACAAACTCCCTATTATAATGGTTTCTAAAGAAACATTGGAAGCGGAGGTGTCTACAGACCTTTGGACATACAGGGTATGGGGGTGAGAGAGATGAAAAGACAGACATTGTACATGTTTGTGAAATTCTTGTCAGCTATATTTACTCACCATTTGCTTTGTTAGAAACCCTTCTTTGTGCTCTGGTCAATGTCTGGTTTATAATTTTTTGCCTGCTTTATGGTCAGTTATATATTACAATTACAGATCTTATCCCATCTGTTGTCATATATCTGACAGAAATTCAAAATTCATGGACCTCTGGAGTTGGGCAACGTTCTGTAGTTGTTTTATGCTCATATTAGGAACTCCATGTCTAAGCTGGTTTTTCCTATGACAAAAATAAATGGTGTTTTGGAAAATTGCAGCTGTGGCGTCCTGTGGTAAACTAAAGTGCCCAGAGATATGTTTTGTCCTGTGTACATATTACCGTCAAAGGAAACATGTGTTGGCTTTGGAACATTTAGCAACCACAGGACATGACCACAGCAATTTCCAAAACGCCTTCCATTTTTCTCATAGAGAAAACCTGTGTTTCCTAATATGGGCATAACGCTGACTACAAAATGACACGACACAACTTCAGGGGTCTGTTGGTCAGTTTATGACCACAGGAATGCTGTTCAGCGGATATTACTTGGGTAGCATTCTTTAATACAGCAGTGACGCTGACTTTGTAATGTCATGGTAGTGTGTGTGGTACACACATCTGCAGACAGGTTGCCGTCTAGCTGTCAGATTAAATTCAAGTGAATAATGTAAGCGTCACAAAAGAATTATGTGAATTAGACTAAACGTCCATTAGCTCTGTACAAGAGAACACGTCTGATAAGTATGCAGTGAGTTTGCGGACGAAATCTTTAATCTTCTGCAGATTCTTGCTCCTTGTTTTTGTTTTCTGGCTGTGTTTTACATCATAAGAGCACAAAGACAAAATGTACTGGCAGCAGCTCAGGAAATGTTGGCTGGAGGCATCTCAAGTCCATTTTCCATCTAGTATCATGATATTGCATGTCATGTTTATTACCAAAAAAAATTACCCACTTTAAATGATCATACACATTTTTAGGTAAAGTGTGTCGAATTTGTGCAGTATTTGCCGTTTCTATAAAGGTTAGGTTGTTAAAGTGGTACACCATGATAAAGTGTCCAGACGAGTGACCGAACAGTAACTGACCAGTGCCTCTCTGCATCATTCACATCCCCTATTGTCCATTTTTTATGCTCTTTAAATTGTTTGCTCTTTTTTCTTGATTTGAGTGTCATCTTTTTTTAGTAGCAAATCAGTTCAACAATGGTTTGACAATCATGTCTATGGCTGTGTTTCTTACAGGAAGAGCAGGATATTAAAGCACTGCAGGTGAAAAACAGAAAGCTAGGAGAGGCCCTGGACCAAAGACAGGTACATGTGAAATACTGTGTACACACATGCATATATATAATATATTATAAATATATATATATATATATATATATATATATATACATACAAGAATACTAAAATGTGACCAAAAGCTGGATTCATGCATGTGCTCTCATATACTCATGCATACTCCTCCTGTTTTAAGGTTATTGAGGATGAGTTGAGAGAAAGAGTGGAAAGGCTTGAGACTCGCCAGGCTACAGATGATGCTAGTCTACTTATCCTCAACAGATACTGGAACCAGGTAAATAACCCAGCAGATGGCAAATACAATTCATGTGTTTGTATCACACCAAGTGTATGATACAGATATTTTTTTTCATTGTAACCCTAAGCATATGTAGTTTGATGTAGTCGCAGTTTATTTTCTGACGCCAGTTCTTCTTCTTCTCCATGCTGTTTACAGCTCGATGAGAATATGCAGTTGATGGCTCGCCGTTATGACCAATCAGGGAGTGAGCCTGTCGACAGCCAGCCTGCGGAGGGGCGCAGCCTGAAGCCTGGAACACCAGAGCCAGATGGAGATTCCAATCAGGAGAGAGCGAAGGACCGAGGTGAGGCAGGGCGGTGAGGGGATGACCAGTTATGAGGACAGTTGCCTTGAAAGTTGTGAAAAGAGTGGTATCAAGATTCTGATGTGTGCTTTTATTAGTAATTTGGCATAATGAAGTGCACCAAATTAGTAGAAACGTACTGCGTCTCTCGATATTTTGAGGTTAGCAGTGGTCTCAGCATTTGCACATGACAACATTTTGAAACCACAAACCACCAGAGAGGAAAATGTTGCTGCAAAATTTAAGCAGATTAATGGAGAACAGTTGTGACTAGAACTGTCTTGTGAATGTGTATGTTTCCTTTCAGGTCAACAGGGGGAAGGGGCAAGCTCATTCCTTGCCATTTTGGCCAGTAGCAGCAGTGAAGAAATGGAAGCAGAGCTGCAGGAGAGGGTGGAGTCCAGTCGTAAGCAAGCCAGTCGTGTGGTGGAAATTTACGAGAGCTTGAAGAGCACTGTAGATCAACTGAAGAAGGACTTGGAGTCTGGAACAGGTGAGATGTGCAGCATGGGACAATACAGACTAGTCTGGTGGACAAAATGCATCTCAGTGTTGACTGAAAATAACTCTTTATGTAACACACAGATGGAAACACGGCTCTCTGGGAAGCTGCTGCCCGCCTCAACACTCTGCTGGCTAATGAAAATGAACATCTTCGTCAGCTGACTGATGACCTCATGCAAAAATATACTCACATGACCAACGAGGTCAGTAAGCAGTAATTAGTTACATTACTGTGTCTGCATGTGTGTATGAGGTATGGTGCAATATGTTTATGGTTACTCAGTGTGTGATTCTGGTCATTTAAACATGTTTCAGTCTCGTTCCCTGGGCCGTGCCGCTACTCGTGCCGATAACAGAATCAGTGAGCTGCAGGTGCTGATAGAGGAGCTTCAGTGGGACACAGAAAAGGTCCGCCGACGGGAAAACCGTCTCAACACACACCTGGGAGAGGTGCTGGAGAGGGTAAGTGTGTTTGAATCAGTTTTCACCTCGCAGTTCCTCTGGGATTCAAAGCCATTCACCCTCCTGATGTGATTGGGAACCTTGAGGCTTGAATGCGCTTAAGAGCCTTGGCTAGATATCATGGAGACTTTAGTGAACTGAATTGAATCCAATCGTGGATTTAATTTTCATTAGCGCACTGTGATAGGCTTCTGGGCCTTTGGGCTCTTTTGGTTAATCTGAAGTTTGTCTAATGATTAGGTTCGCTATGTGTTACGGTTCATTATTCTCAACAACTGTTGTTGTGTTTTGCTATGTGTTGTCGACCAGAGTTGGGTTCTCGTTTTGAGTCTTGGTTCCTCTGAAGGTTTCTTCCTCTTGCTCTAGGGAGTTTTTCCTTGCCTCTGTTGCGCTTGGCTTGCTTACTATAAGCTTGAATCCATATTTCTGTAAATCTGCTTTGTCAAACAGCCATATCTTAAGTCTTATCTTGACTGAATTGAATCATTTTAATTGTTTCAGTGCAATAATAGTTTGTACGTTTCCCCTGAGATGTGTGTATCTTCTTATTCTAGGTAAACAGTAAAGGCTATAAAGTGTGTGGCGAAGCTAGCAGTGTGTGTGGGACCATCACTATTAACAAGAGAAAGGTAAAAGAAATGCAATGAGTGTTGAGTATTCTGTTTTCTATGTGTTTATAGCTTGATTTAAACAGCCTTTTAAACTTTTTTTTGTCGCTCACTCTATTTTTTCAGTTTGAGGAGATGAACAGCGAGCTGGAGGAGAACAGGGAGCTAGCGGAGAACCGACTCAGTGAGCTGCAGAAACTGCAGCAGGACCTCCAGACAGTTGTCCAGGAGAACAATAACATGAAGGTACACACATCTGTCTACCTTGACGTCATCCAGTCTAGGTTTTCACTTTAGGTCCTGCAGCGACAGCCTCTTGGTGTAACGCCAGCTGATTTATCATGTTATTTTATTTATTTCTTATATTTATTTATGTATTTCCTAGAGTGATGTTAGCAAACTTTAGCCAACAGACCAGTCTAGCAGGAGGTACCACTACGGTCACTACATCATCACCTTAGCTGCTGTGGTAGTTACAGTTGACGAAATCTGACAAAACTTATTTGATGCCATTTGGTCCTTGTCAGACCAAACAGGTTTATTGAAAGGGGAAAAGAATGCAAATTAATCAAGTATCTTTACATGTTAATGTAGTGAGTTTTTAACATAAATTATTTGAAATAAAAACTCTTAGAACATTTCTATTGGTTCGGTAGGCTTGAACCTTTCACATAATGTAAATGACATCTGTGCTCGAATTATATAGAAAAATGAAAATAAAAAAAGATACATTTGTCGTTTTTAATATTGAGGTAAACAACAGTAATTTCTTAACTTGGTTATTAATGTTGCCAATTTGTTGACATTGCTGCTCTCTTTTTGTCTATGCAGACTTTAACATAGTATTGTTTTTCTCTGTATTTGTTTATCACTCAGATGGAGCTCCTGTGCAGGGCTGAGGGACTTGTGAGGGAAACAGCGGAATATCGATGTTTGCAGTCACAGTTCTCCGTACTTTATAATGAATCTTTGGTGCTGAAGGCCCAGCTAGACGAGACCAGAGCTCGCCTCAACACCACCAGAGCAGCCCGCCTCCGCCAGCTTGACCACATGGAGGTACAATGCCGTTTGTGTCCCTCTCTGATTATGTACCGTAATTATATGTTAAAACATTGCCATAGAAATAGATATGTGAATAACTTGGTATTTACCGAGCAATATTGCTAATAGTAAAGAGTAAAATCACATTTGCTCTATGTGCTCTGTGTCAGAATGATGAGGTGTCGCTGCAGCGTAAGGTTCGTACTGAGGTCATTCAACTGGAAGACACACTGGCTCAGGTGCGGAAAGAGTACGAGATGCTGAGGATCGAGTTTGAGCAAACACTCGCCGCCAATGAGCAAGCAGGTATTTTGCACTTTTAATGTTTTGGTCCGAAATGTTGTCCTTCTGTTATCTCTCCAAAACAAAGAGACTGCTTTCTCTCTGAGCATTTCTATTGTTCTGTCTATAAGGTCCAATAAATCGGGAGATGCGTCACCTTATCAGCACGCTGCAGACCCACAACCAGCAGATGAAGGGCGAGGTGGTCAAATACAAACTCAGATTAAGAGAGGCCCAGCAAGAACTCAACCAGGTGAGAAAGAATAAAGAGGAGAGATGTGGTTGTAAGAGGAGACTGGCTATAAGTTAGTAGAATAAAGTAGGTAAAATATTTCATATTAAGATCTTTTTGTCCAACATAGCTCCGTGCTGCGAAGGGCAACCCTGCTGTCCAGTCACAGTCGAGCACGGAGATGGATATAAAAGAAGAGACTGCCTCCCCTTTACCACCTGCCACCTCTGGTAATGTCATAGTGAAAGCAGAGCCAGATAATGGTTCGGCCACGCCCACAGGTACTGGTAAGACCTGAGTGAAAATCTAGTTTTTTTGTTGCTTTAAACTAATAAATGTTCATACATTTATTTGTTTTTATCTGATTAAAAAAACGAAAACATCTGTGTGCTTAATGTATTGGTGAAGAATGAGGAGTATAGTGAAGAGACTAGCAGATAATAGACCATTATTTATTGATTGTCCATTGTTTGCCTTTCTTCAGCAGTCTCAGTGAAGACAGAACCTGGAACTGAACCAGAAGTAACAGTGAAAGAAGAGGAGAAAGAGAAGGAGAAGGAAAAGGAGGAGAAGAAAGAAAAAGAACAGAAAGAAAGAGAGAGGGCACCTCGTGGGAGTGGTGCGAGTGGAGCAGTCAAAGAGGAGAAGGAGAAGCCAGGCACTAGCTGTAGTCAGTCAGAAGACTCTCCAGCTGAACGCTGCACAGTCATTGGAGGACCCAAGCGGAAGGAAGTGGAGCAACTGAAGATTGTCAGGGCGGAGCTGAAGTAAGTTTTGCTGATGATTTTAATGAAACTCGATACTTACAGGGATCATTACAGGAATTGATGATGTACTGATAACGGCCTAATTTGTGCCTAAAATGAGGAGGATAATAAACAGTGTTCTGAAGTTGTTAATGGTGATGATTATGCAGGAAAGCCCAGGAGTCTCAGAGGGAGATGAAGCTCTTGCTGGACATGTATCGCTCTGCGCCAAAAGAGCAGAGGGACAAAGTGCAACTCATGGCTGCGGAGAAAAAGGCCAAGGCTGAGGTACAAATACACAAACAAAATGTCACTCTTACAATCTAACACTTTGTCCTAAACAGCAAGAGACACGAGTGAGCAACAACGGCAAAACCAAACCGCTCTCATAGTCGACGAAGCTGTCTACACCAGCTGAGAGCAGCAGAGCGTGATTCAGGGGGGATAATGCTATTTTACCTATGTTATTTAGACTGCTGATATTTAATGTTGAAATAAACTATAATCTGTCATACATACTATAAAATAAATGTCCCAAAGCACAGCTGGCAAGCTCTGTCAGTAAAGCAGCTGTTTTCTGATGGGTCTGTGTTTCTTAACGTTTTGACTTGATACGCACTTGATGTTTCCAGTGTAGACCTTCTGAAGGCTTTGCGACGGGATGCAATACAACACTTAAATGCTGTTAGGGCATGGTATGAGGCATCTACCCTATCAAGTTTGGCTCCAAACCTAATCAAAAACACCTGATCCCGGGTAAAGAGGGTTTTCATAGGCATCTGAATATTAGAGCCAGGTATGCTGGATTGGAGCTTTCCAGGGTGGTAGATGTCCAGAACCAGGATTAGGCATCCTTGATCTAAGGCTTTACATTACAAGTCTCATTGATTCACATTGATCTTGATCTAAGGTGTCACATTACAAGCCTTATTGCTCAATTACAATGTTTTGCTCCAATCCAATCTTTCTAACTTGTTCACACAGCAGGTAAAAGTGGCCCAAATATGATCTTTTTCCTCATATGTGACACAGATGTGTGTCTATGTGACAGTGTGAACAGCAAAAAACACATTGCATCTGACAGTTTCAATTCCGCTTTGAGACATTTTCCTATGTGGGACTGAAATATGATCCATATCCGATCTGCAGCAATGCAACTCAGTCAGATCGGAATTCATGTGGCTTTTATGTCAGTCCAACTTGACATTCATCATAATCCTGCGCTGCTGACACCTCATAAACATTTGGGCTGGTGTTTCTGTACTAAAAAAGTAGAAGAGACTTATCACAACCGCTCCGTGTTCAAAGAGATTGTGAAAGAAATGCCGAACGCAGCCAAAGGGTGAGGCTGTTGCGTCAAAGTACAGTTAAAAGTCTGAAAGCAAAGTTTAAAGAATCCGAGGACACGAGCCAAAGAAGTGAGCGTGGCCAAATAACATGCCTTTTTTATGGTGAGCTTGAACACTTTCTGGGTGATGAGCCCAGCTGTCAGTCAGCAAAGCTTTATGATGGCTCCTGTGATGCTGGCGAAGATGAACCTGAAAGCTCCAGGAGCGACTGACATTCGTTCATAGTCTTGATTGTTTACCTCTGGATGAGCCACATGAAGCAACATGAAGTTCTGTTCTTTTGCGCATGTGGGTCGGTTTAGGAGCTGATCTGTTCAGACTGATGTCGCGTACAGATCACACTTAAATTTGGTGAGAAAATCAGATTTGGGCCACATTTAACTGCTGTGTGAACGTAGCCCAAGTGACTCGTACCTGTCGTTAATGTGAACTTTATCTTAGTCAGTAACATCACATGAATGAACCACATACACCATGAACAACAAATAAAGTAACAGAACAATCAGGCATCGCAAAAACAATTTGCTTTGAACATTTTTCACCTGTTCATTACCAGAGAAGAAGGAAAAAAGTCGTAATTGTTGCTTTTGTAGTGTTTATTGGCACTCTTCAGGTTAGGCACTGCTACCACATCAATGCTGAATGATGGTTCATGTGCGATTGGAAAAAAAAATTGATCTGTGAAAAAAATCAGATCTGCTTGTCTATATTTAGACCTCTGTCATGCCAAGGCAAAAAAATTGGGTTTGTGCCACTTCAGCCTGGTAATGTGAACGTAGCCTGATAGACACAGACACGCATACAAGCAAAAAACTCACTAGTTTAAGATTGCGTCAAAAGAGTTACTTTGGGGATACATAAAATTGATGTGCGTCTGTTTTAAATATATGTGGTTTTATGTGTTTATGTTAGGCAGAGGAGCTGCGCCAGCGATTGCGAGATTTGGAGGAGAGAGAAAGGAGGGAAGGGAAGAAGATGGCGGATGAGGAGGCTCTGAGGAAGATCCGCTCAGTAGAGGAACAGATTGACATCCTCAACAAGAAGCTCTCCCTCGCCAAGCAGGTGTGTGTGCATGAAAGACCACGTGAGGCTAGTGGTATTGCGGTGAGGCTGTATGTGTGTGTCAGAGTAGTTTTGTTATAGGCAGATTAAAGATCCCCTAAATTTCAGCTGCACCTGATGAAGATTTCTGTAAATAATTATTCTGTCTGCTGGTTTAGCCTTACTTACCACCATCATAACACAGTTCTGTCTGTGCAACAAGCCATTTCTTTTGTAGTCTAACACTTCTTGTCTTTGGAGGCCAAAAGTCAGTGTTTGTGGTGGCCTGAGGGCCATAAAGACAGACATTAAACAGTATACAAATGAGGGCAGGTAGGTTGGTTTACACAAATTGTTGTTATTTGAATACTTAATAGTGCAGTTTTGAAAGGAATATAAGAGGTTATATCTGGTATAATGCAAGGGGGTGAGGATAGGGCAACTTTCTGACAGGCCAAATCAAACATGCTGGACGTCACTTTGGGTAGCACTGGTATAACGACACAATAGAAGCCAAATAACATACTTCCAGCAGTGTATTTAGTCAGAACCTGTTACTACCACGTTCCACACTCCATATGAGGAACATTTTTTTAATATCTCGGAGGATTAGTAGTGGTCGATATACCGGTACATTTGGTTTACCATTTGAAATTGTTTTTACGGTATTTTGTCATTATTGTTATACCGGTTTGCAAATACATGCTAGGTAACATGACATACAAATACTGATTCCCTCAATTCTTGGGTAGTGACTTGCAGCCTTAGGTAAGTTAGTCCAGTGTATTGCCAAAGGAGCAGACATCAGATTGTAATGAGTTAATGGAAGGAAAAGCCAGTCTCTTATGGTTAGCTGTTAGCCATTAACCCAACATGGAGACTAGCTGGTTTCTGTGTGCACCAACTTTGGCGCTCCTTGCTCAGCCAACTGCGGTGATGCTGCAGGCTTAGCCTACAAGCCGAGGTGTCTTAGCCAAAACAGACAGTATGAACGGCTTGTAATATTCATATTAAGGTTCGAGTGCAAGAGATGCGAGTATGAGACAAATGACTTTCAAACATAAGACCTAATTTAGCGCCATTTTGGCCAACTTTGAGAACGCCCTGTGGGCTTTACATACGCTCACCTTTATCTTTAGAAAGAAATATTGAGCAATATGTGTCGCATTGTTCATTTTTGTTTATACTATTTCACCCAAAACATTTTAGATTTACTTCAATTGTTAAATATCATTGCTATTAAAAGTGAAGGGACGATTCACTTAATTGTTGACTAATAACATTCGTTTATTGGTCAAAAGATTTGGCCAAAAAGCATCTCTTACTGGCCTTTGATCTGAATGTTCAGATGTCAAGAGCTGTGATTCATCAGTAAACATGCTTTTTGATAAAACCTAAGAGGAAAGCAGAAAAAGAGACTGTTTTCTTTTTCTCCTTTCCAGCAACATTCCTAATAATAATACAGCAGTGCTGATGGTTATGGTTAGTGTGGTTTGTGCTCTTCAGGAGGAGGACGCCCTGCTGAGTGAAATGGACGTCACCGGGCAGGCCTTTGAGGACATGCAGGAGCAGAACATTCGCCTGATGCAGCAGCTCAGAGAGAAGGATGATGCCAACTTCAAGCTGATGAGCGAACGCATCAAATCCAACCAGATTCATAAGCTACTGAAAGAAGAGAAAGAGGAACTGGCGGACCAACTTCTCACGCTCAAAACCCAGGTGGGTGTGCCAGGAAACAACAGGGGTCTCCAGGATTGATTACCAGATGGCATGTCATTAGCAGTGTGTGAATAGTAAATACTTAAATAAAGATAACAAGTTTTGCTCTTTGTATTTCAGGTGGATGCTCAGCTTCAGGTTGTGAGGAAGCTGGAGGAGAAAGAGCGCCTCCTGCAGGGCACGATAAGTGCTGCAGAGAGAGAGCTGGCCCTGCGCACGCAGGCCCTTGACATGAACAAACGCAAGGTACACACCCTCCACAATCATACTGAAAATATGTAGGCATGTGTTTAGTTAGATTTACATTTTCAAATCTGCAGATGTTAAAAAAAATGTTTATTTGCTTTGGCTTAATAATGGGATACAACTCTCTTATGTCACTTAGGGGTAGTTTAAGAAAGTACCCTATGTACTACCCTGAAAAGTATCTGGTTCTCTCTCTGCAAGGCACAGGAGTCTGCTTTGCTGTCGGAAGAGGTACGGTCTCAGCTGGAGGCAGTGCAACAGAGGCTCACTGCAGTCAGAGAAGAGGTCATCGAAAACAGCATCTCCAGAGAAAAAGAGTCCTTCAATGCCCGTCGTGCACAGGTACACATAAGAATGCGGACAGAGACGGTGGTGACAGCTTTTTTAAGTACTACAGTAGTTCCTACCTTGGTTATAAAGGACTATAACACCAGAATATTTAAAATTACAATTACTGAACTACTACAACAGTATATTCAAGCGAAAGCAAGGGAAGCAGTATTTGGGGTGGAAATTAATGATGTAAGCCTATGTTTTATATTAATTTCTTTTTTTTGTTCATTAGGAGGACATCTCCAAACTGCGCCGGAAAATCGAGAAGGCCAAGAAACCTGCTGAGAACATTCGCAATGGAGATGAAATACTTAATCAGGAAATAATTGAATACAAGGTACAAAAGGCAGCTTGTTTGGTCTTGGTCCCAAAGTCACAGATGTTTGGACAAATGACATGTTTTTGTTCATTTGTAAAGTGAAAAGAAGTAAACACACATCTCTGTAACCAAATATATTTAAAAAATAACATTTTCTGCAAATGTTAATGCACATTTAACTACCTTGAATAGGAAAAATGTTATTGTAGCATTTACAAGTTTGGACAAACTTCCAGTTGTAAAGTCTCAAAACTTACTGAACTTGTTAGGCTTTGATCGGCTTGTTAGGACTAGTGAGGCAGACCAAGAATTGTCACTTCTCTGACACTTCAAGCCTTGCGCTAACACTCCAACCATGGGCTCCTCTAAGCAGCTGGCTGAGGAATAGCGGTCGAGGTTGTGTTTAATCTTTCGATTAAAAAAATCAATAAGATGTGTAATTTGGGCACGAGTGTGTTTGCATACAACTTGTATTGTTCACACTGTTCACTTGCATCAGCATCGTTAATTGCTGGGGAAACTGAATGCCTCTTGTTCTTGCAGGCTCGTTTGACGTGTCCATGCTGCAACTCGCGCATGAAGGACGCCGTATTAACGAAGTGCTTCCACGTCTTCTGCTTCGAATGTGTGAAGACGCGCTACGACACTCGCCAGAGGAAATGTCCCAAGTGCAACGCGGCCTTCGGCGCCAACGACTTCCACCGAATCTACATCGGATAAGCCGACGATCCACCACATCCACAGCTTACTGGTCCACTGCGCCACCATCGTTTCTGCCTGACTGGAGTGGTGCCACTTAGATGTAGATGGATTTGCTGTGCAGCGTGGTTCTTGACCAGCCACAAACATCATCAGCTGAAACTCTACATTCCATCACGTTTCCAGGTTATGAAGCAAGTTAGCCATTTAGGGTTCAAGGAGGGGATTTGGCCTGGTTGCTCAGGCCTGTCTCAGCTGTCCGTCTGCCAGAAACTGCTGCTTGTATTCGAGGGAGCGTATCAGTTGGATTCCTTCAGGCTGGAACTGCTCCAACTTGCTCTTGCTCTCCATTCCAACCCATTTGCAACCGGTTTTGCTTCATAGCCCTCAGTGGAGCAGGGGCTTGGCATCAACGTTATTAGTGATAGTCCTGAAGAACTGCCTGAAAGACTGCTGAGTGATTCATTTGAAGTCTCTTAGACACTTTTTTTTTGTACTTTTACTTTTATTTTCAAAACTGCCTAGTTAAGTATGATGGTTAAAGTAATTGCTGTGTTGCAATTCATTAAAAGTGCTGTCAAACTGTGTATTTCGTTTGCCTTCTTCTAAAACATGGTGCGCTCCCTGTATGGTCTCCTTCCCCGAGTGAACACTCCTCCTTGTTTGGGGTTTTAATCCTCCATATGCCTCCCTCCCTCCCTCCTTCCCTCCTTCTGTTCTCCATACAGCCACACTCTCCAGTAAGAAGGCTTCGAGTTCAGCACCTGCACACTTGTCAAAAGAGGACAGAAGCGGCCAGTAAGGAGGACCAGGAGTTTTAATTTTTTTTTATTTATTTTTTTAAGGACGATATCATTCTTTGTGAGAACAGAACTAAGTAGACTTCATGTGAGCAGCTTTTATCTCCTGCGTTTGCTGCAAACCGGGCAGGTTTAGACGCTTTTCTGCAGCGTGGAGCGTTTATTTGTGACCCTTTGCAACCAAAAATAACAAGATTTTCTTCTTAAAACTGACGAAGTCCAAATGTGAGGATTATTATTTTTTACTTCGAGCTAATTTTAACTCCTTCAATACCAAATATAGTCACCGGGGGATTATTTTGAAGTGGCCTGATCCGGTGCGCTTTATTAAGCTCTGCCCAATACAGAGTGGGAGAAAACCCAGCGCCTCGCTGGACTGCATGATTTATTAAGCTCAATAATTAATAATTAGTCTAGATTTCTGGCGGTTGCTGCGTGTTTACTGATTGTAGCACTGAAATAGCCTGTTGCCTGTTGCCTGTCTTGTGGCTATATTTAAAGCACTGATTGATGTAATCTAGAAAGCTATTGGTGCTGGCTGATATACTTTTATAGTATAATCTTACCTGTTCTACATTTACACGTTTACCGTTTCACAAAAGTCAGTTTTTGTGTGGTAAAAAAAGAAGAAAAAAATAAAAAGGCATGTCTTGCCACACCGGTGCCTTAACGTGGTGGAAGACCTGGCTGGGCCTGCTCCTCCTGGGTGTGACCGCGGGGTGCCGTGAGCACGCCTCCCCGCCTCAGGAGCCCCCCAGCGCGGCTTCGCCCAGCTTCGCCTCCTACTTCACTGAATGCCTGGACCCGGTTCTCGGCTACGTGGAGTCCGTGGTTGGCACCCAGGTCATGAAGACATGTGGTGAGGTGAGCTTTAACCAAACGAACCCTGCTTTAAGCGCTTAAAGGGGAACTCCACAGAATTTTCCAAAAAAAAAGAAAAATTACATAATTAAATGGTTAATGGGTAAACAAAGTCATTCAGAGTGGTTTGGTGTGAAATGCTCCGTTATAGAGGAACTTACAGAGTTAGAATGGTTCGCAGTGGTGGTGATAGGAACCAGACGTCTGAAGAGTTTCATTGCTCCCAAAGTTATTACTTGAGTGGTTAGATATGCTGCTTGATGTCTGACAAGTGACAGTTTTATTATTTATAATGTTTTGTGATGCAAGTTTTGGCTTAAAATGTATGTATGGGGTATGTGCAGGACGTTTTAAGACGATGTGATGCCCCAAGAAACTATTTTTTGAGATTTATGACTTATACCATCATTAATATTACATATAAGACACGTGTAGGTTCACTGCTGGTTTTGGACAGTAAATAAAATGGCTGTGTTTGTGTTGTAGACATCGTGACCCCAAATAAACCACTTTAAATGACACTCTAGACCTCAACGACTGCTTTTTAAAAAATTGGTGGAAAGGTTTACAGTGAAATAGTTACTGGTTAACAGCCTGGTGTCTGAGACATTGTTTAACAATAGTTTTGAGAGATAATTTTGGGCTAAAACTATTTTTATTAATAAATCAATTCCTTGCGAAGAAGTGTGCGCGGAGGCCTGGAGAGGCCATAAGGTAGTTATAATTTTTTGCCTTGTTATCTTGAGATAATGAGTTAACTATCTTGTGATCTCAAGATAACAGTTATCTTGAGATGAATTAATTATCTCAAGACAGCTTTACCTTGATATCACAAGATAGTTATCTCATTATCTCAAGGCAACCTTGATATCACAAGATAGTTATCTTGTTATCTTGCAAAGAAGTGTGTACAGAGATCTGGAAAGGCCATAAGTTAGTTCGAATTTTTTGCATTGTTATCTTGAGATAATGAGTTAACTATCTTGTGATCTCAAGATAAAAGTTGTTGACATAATGAGTTAATTAACTTAAGATAACTTTATCTTGATATCATGAGATAGTTATCTCGTTATCTCAAGACAACCTTATCTTGACATCACAAGATTGTCATCTCATTATCTCAAGGCAGCTTTATCTTGATATCAGAAGATAGTCATCTCATTATCTCAAGACAGCTGTATCTTGATATCAGAAGATAGTTATCTCGTTATCTCAAGACAACTTTGTTTAACTCTTATGCTTCCTGACCCCCACCATCTCCTGGAATTCCTCCTAAGATAACTTTATCTTGAGATCACAAGATAATTAACTCGTTATCTCAAGACAACAATCCAGAAAGTTATAGCAACAGCTCATGGCCTCTTCATATTTCAAAAATTTTCCTAATTTACTGCTATTTTACCATTATCAGCATTACATACAAAAACTCAGAAGACGTATAAGTTCAGTGGTTAATTTTGAATAAAAAAATAAAATGGCTATATTTAACATTGTATTTAACATTGCAGCCCTGGTTCCTATCACCACCACTGTAAAGACATCTGAAGACGTTTCTCTGCAATGCACTTACTCAAGTTTCTCTACAATTTCACACCACAAACCATTTTAAACTATTCTGTTTACATCTCAACAAGTGAATTTTGTGCAAGGTGGAGTTCCCCTTTAACTGCCTGTTTCCTCAGTTAAATCCTTAACTCTTCCCATTTCTTAACAACTACTGATTCAGATTACATTTGCGTATTATTTTATTCTGCTGAATCCATCTGGGTTGTATAAACTTGTTCATTGCTCTCTCCTTCCCTCTCTTTATGCCCCTCTCATCTCGCCCTGCATACCCACTAATCCTCCTTTAACCCCCTTTCACGCCCCTCCTCTCCTTTGCCCTAATTTCATCCTCTCTTGCGCTTCCCCACCCCCTCCATCTCCTCACCCAACTCCGTGCTTCTCTTTCCGACCCAGAAAGCAGTAGGGTACCTTGAATCAGTGTTTGGGCCAGACAACGTCAAAGCTATTGCCATGGTAAGAGCTGCAGAGCAACCATGTGGATTGACTGGTTAGCGTGTGCCTACATGCTCTGTTTTAGCATGTGTGAAATGAAAGCAACAGGTGTTGAGCTGTATTGTGCGGACACAGTGGCTCCTGTGCACTGTGATTTTATTTAGTCCAGCTGGCCATCTGTCATATTGAAGCATAGGCGAATGTGTGTGTGCTTGTAGCAGGTGTTAAATACCATAGTGTTCAGCAAGCGAGCAGCTGACCTTGTATCAGAGAGGGCAGTATATTTGTAAGTGTGTGCAGTGTCAAGTGCATGTTTGTCATCTGTATGTTTGTGTGTAAAGGGGGTGCGGGGGGTGTTCAGCTGTCACTCTGACAATCTTAAACAAATGTCCTTTACAGACTCCTCATTGTGCTCACGCTACACAAAACACATGCACAACACGGGAGAAATGCACATTCTGGTACACCCAGCTTGTACATGCATTATTTGGCCATTGTATTGGAAACACCTGCACTTTGTAAGTTTACCGTTACTGACTGTAGCTCCTTTGTTGCACTCATTTGCCTCTGCCCTGCCTGTCTATGGAAAGGGACTAACACTGGACAACCCTGACCACGGACTGTTCTCGGCATGGCAGTGACATGGTAGGAAAGGTGCGCAATATGACGATATTTCATTTATCCATAATAAATTGCGTCACTATGCTTTGAGAAGGTCATGGACGCGTACTTAAAGAGCGTCGACCAGCTGCCTGTTTCGTTATAAAGAGCACAGTTACAGTTGTATGCAAATTTTTGTATACCTCCGGTCCAGTGAGGTGGGTTGTAAATTTATAAGTAAGTTTTTAACACATCCTTTACAGAGAACACACTTACATACAGCATTTTCCTGCGAATTTCAGTTATATATTGAACGAGACCTCGTATCTCCAAAAAGGTAACTTTACAGGACAAGGAAGATCGTTTTAACTTTAAATGGAAATAAATGGAAAAAATGTTTTTTTCTAGTAATTTTGGATCATTTTTGAATGTGTTGTTTCAATCATCATTACATTTTAACACAACATGAAGGGCAACTGCCTTTTTCCAAAAATGTGAAAAAAACAAAAAAAACGTCCCCACAAAATTGGAGATACAAGGGTTTGTCCTGACAGCAACGATGTGTGCATGTGTGTGTGTGTGTGTGTGTGTGTACATATATATATATATATATATATATATATATATATATATATATATATATATATATATATATATCTATATATATATATATATGGCTGTTGTTGGAACAAAACCTTGTATCTCCAAAATAGAAACTTTACAGGAGAACGAAAAAACAATATATATACACATCAGAAGAAAACCTCGTATCTCCATTTTTGTTGTTTTTGACATAATTTGAAAATGCACGTTGGCCTTTACATTGTGTGTAAATTTCATGATGACTGGACGAAAAGAAATGTCCCAAAATGACTTGAAAAGACGTCATGTTTTTTCCTTCTCCTGTAAAGTTTCTATTTTGTAGATACAAGGTTTTATTCCAACAACAGCCATATATATATAATGTTAAATAAATGATTGATTAAATGATCAGCACTTGCATATGAACAGTATAACAGTTTACCTTACCTGCAAAACTGACTAAAACTAAACAGAACTGCTGAGAAAAAAAAATATTTTTTTGTTGTCATTGTTTTCGTGTATGAAAGAGAGTTTAGACGTGGATCCTTTCTGTGTTCGTCTTTAAGGAAAGCTGGAGCCGAGCTCAGTCTGTTGTAGTGTTAATTTATTCTACCCTTACCAAACATCTACTGTTACAGCACTTATCATAATACTAAAAACTAAAACTAACAATAAATGAAATAAACATTTCTACTATAACTTTAATAAACTACAATAACCCCGAGCACAGTATTTAAAACTCAGGTTTTTTTTTATATATTATAAAATAGATATAATATATTTTTCCATCTCAGCTACTGCAACATGGTAGGAGTGAAGTTAAGTCAAGTGGTCTTTATTGTCATTCCTCAATATAACTTGCATGCTTTGGAATGAAATGCCATTCTTCAGGGCCCAAACACACAACAGCAGCACATCACACAGGACTACACAGTTACTGAACCATAAATACACAAGCCAATAAAAACTAGACCGGACAAAACTATATATACACATATATGGGCATCATATATATGTATGCATGTGGAAGGAGGTGTCAATGGTGGCTTGGGGAAGTCCCAAGCACTGAGACAGTGCAGTTCCCATATCAGGCAGTGAGACAGCTGGTCAGGACGTTCTCTTCTGTCCCCATGAAGAATGCAGTGAGGATGGAAGGGGCAGGTTTTAGAGGAAGTGAAGTCCCTGCTGGCCTTTCCAGTGGTGTTGAGGGTCCTGGTGAGATTGTTGCTGATGTGCACACCAAGGAAGTTTTTGCTTTTGTCTTGTTTAATAGTTAAACCATTGAGGTGAGAGTGATCACCGCGAGTCCGGAAGTCAACTATCGTCTCTTTTCTTTTATCAACATTAAGAGATAGATTGTTGTCTCTCCACCTCCGCCCTGTATGCTGACTCGCCGGTGTTGCTGATAAGACCCACCACTGTAGAAAAAGAGCACTAAACTTTTCCTTAAACTCATTAAAGGAACACAAATGGTCTCTAAGGACAGTTTTGTACTTCGGGATACTAATATGTCCCTGTGTTGACAGTGGGTGCTCTTACGGGACCCTCTGACTCTGACAGTGTAGTGTGTATGTTGCCCTGGTATGAGGGTATTAAGTACAGCCATGTACATTAACTATCCACTGTGACAGACGTACCTTGGTTGCACAGGTGTAGTTACAGACTGTTACTACACAGTTTGTGTCAGCAATGTTATAAACTTCATCAGTGGTCAGTGTTTTCTGACTACAGGATTCTGTTGGCTGGATATTTTGGGTTGATTGACCGTCCTCAAACACAGTAGTGACACTAATGTTTTAAAACCTTCTACAGTCATACCACTGCAATACCCACTACCATTGGTTGGTGTCACCGCTCTCTTAAGGATGGTTCACCACCCAAAAAATCACTGGTGGTCCCATAGTGGTCGCTTTCTATTGGTGGACGGTGTAAAGTAGGGCTGAGAAATTGTGCAGAAGCAGATTGGCTACAGTCTGTGATTGTAAACCTACAAGTGCACCAATGAGGTAGGTGTTTCTGATAAAAAGGCCAGTGAGTCTAGGTACAAAGTAGGTGTACTTGATGAACTAGTAACATTTATTTAATCTACACAAACCCAAATCTGGTTCAACTGATGCTTTTATCATGTCTGTGCTTATTGACTCTCATTGTGTGGCTAAGTGACCCCAGCAGCGTCTGGTTAATGATCACTGAAGCACAACTGTTATCTTGTTGCAGTTAAAGCCCACCCCATTCACAACCCTCCACTCTGCCATGCTCTTAAAGTGGACACGTCACTGATTGGACCCCTCTTTCTGTTTCTCTTCCCTTTTCTGTCCTTCCCTGTGTAGTTTGTGGAGATGGTGCTCCGGTTTGTGGCGGAAGGCGCTGCCAGTGGACTGAATGTCATCGCTGTTTACGTGTCCGAGATTCTCCGTGCAACCGGACTGGGAGGTGAGTAGCCCCAACTTTTCTTCTTTAACAAGGAGGTTTAGCACGCTGGATCTGAGGCTTGATTTTCGAGAGAAACATTTCAGTTAACACATACAGTATAACAATGGGATCGTTTGACAGTGATCTGTTCCAGACTAAACTTGATTCGCATGTGGTTCTCACGCCCAGACAGGTTCAGGGTCCGGGGTTGCGTAAGAAAGCAGTGAACTTATTTTGTTAGCGCCTCAGGGGACTGTCCAAACCACCCAATCTACTGACTTCGTCTCTGAGAGTGCGTGCCTGAAGGACAGGAATGTGTTTTTCAGTGCAGTTTCTAATTATGAGGCTGAGTTGGTGACAGAGAAAGGAACGCCCTTTTTCAGTTGCCCAGTATTTGTTTGGTCTGTTTTTATAAATGTTTATTTGGTGTTAGATATCAACCAAAAGTGCTCTTCATATCACAAAAGTGTATTATATTTACCACTATTACTACTACTACTACTACTACTACTAATAATATGTTAAAATGTTTCTGACTTATTTTGGGTGATTCTGAGATTGGGGTGCCATTTATGTCCCACTGATATTCCATTTACTAATATGCATGTAAAGTAAATGTAAAAGATTTTTTAGACAGTGGTAAACTGTCCTTCACAATGACATATGTGCATGTTTCAGACAAATAAACCCACAAATCTACAGCACCTAGTATTTCTGCATGGCCCAGCCCACAATAACACTTTACCTTGAAATATAATCATCAAGCTGCTCCAGAAATCGTATTACTGGGTATTTCAAAAAGATTCATCTGATTTCAAAATGATTTATTTCACTTGTAAATCATTACAGAACAATGCAGTAAACTGTAAATGGTTTAAATGAGCATAAAGTTTATTATATAATTTTACAAGTGCTCAATATGAACCTCCTCCAGCTGTACAGACAACATCAACACCATAGTCACATTCATCCCATACTCGATTGTGCACGTCGGGTTTCGCTGCACTCACAGCTGTTTCAGTGCGATTTTGGAGATCGTCCAGTGTTGTGGAACCAACGCTGAACGCTCTGATCTGTTGGAGGTTCACTGCTGACGAAAATCACGCTGCACAGTTATGACGGATTCACTCTTATTGAAGTGGAGAATGCAGAACGCTTTCTGCTCAGGGGTCGCATCTCCTCGCAGACTGAAGGGAGCCAGTCAGAAACTCTATGACCCCCTCTTTCAATTTGTATGTGATTGGTTCCTAGGCGCGTCATGGTTGTAAAAATATGGCGCTTTGAAAATGGATGAATCTTTTTGAATCACCCTGTATATTAAAACACACTGGTGTCAAGATCGGCCTCTATTATTTTAACCCAAATTATTATATAAAGTTGTTTGCAAGAAGCCAATTACATGTTTTGTGAATTTTAATGTGTTGTTTTACAGTACCGTATCATCGCGTGCCTCAGCCTCACTGGTTTGTCAGAATTCACAACTTTCTGTTGTTTGTTTTCGTGCATTAGTGTTCTCACAATACAATACCCAGCATGCATTATGCAAATACGTCATACAAGCGTTGGGAATCACTGTGGTGTCAACCAACCCTGACTGCTAGCCTAGCTACTCAAAATCATAAAAGAAAACAGAAATTCTGTCTTTATTCAACATAAAGTGGAGGTCAGAGATGGGTTTTTACCTTTTCAGCCAAAGAAAAGAAGTCAAACTCAGTTATGATGTTTAGATAGTCAGGTTTAACAGCTGAGTTCACCAGCTAATAGGAAAAAAAACTGAAATAACCTTTTTGTCATTTTAAATTACTCTAATAAATCCACCCAAAACTAGCTGTAGTTTATTTTTAAGGGCTTTCCACCTTCAAGATACATCATCAGAAGCAGGTAATGGCAAGTCTTTAAACAGAAAAATCTCACTCTGAAGACTCCTGCAGCTCCACTGTGGGATGCCAGTAGATATGTTTACATTTTAATTTTAGCTGGAGCTTCTTTTTTTTATATTTTATTTTTTTCAAATTCTAAATCACTTAAAATAATATAATCCCCCCCCAGCATACCCCAAAAACCCATTAATTGTTTAAAAAAAAAATGGGGGACAGAGAATGAAGAAGGAAACAAAAAATGCATTCAGGGTCATTTTAGATGGACCCCAAACCAAGTTAAAATGCCTCTGTGCTCCTGAGTCACAGCTACACAACCTCTCCATATAATAATACAATATGAAACATCTATGATAACCAGTGTTTAAAACATGGTGGAGAAGCTGATTTCCAATATAAAAGACCTTTTAACCTTTTCAGCCACAAGCATGTCGGCCATTAAGGCTTGTTGTTGAACACATGGAAGGGTAAACGTTGAATTAGAGAATCCACAGATCACAGTGAGAGGGTCAGGATGTAAGTATGTGCTAAGCATTTCGGAGAACCACTGAAAAACACTTCACCAGAAGTTCTGCAACACGGGCAAGACCAGAACAAGTGTCCTAGAGATCCTTCATCTGTTTTGCATTTAAAACTGAAAACTGTAAATTTAGCTTAATAGTAAAGCCTATGAATCACCTTAAACAACATATATCTAGGATTTATAGAGCAGCCCTATATCCTGGACAGACTCCTCAACATTTTCTTTTTCTTATCTTACTCTGTTCTGATGTTCCAGATCCAGTGTCCATCCCACACTTCACTGCTGAGGGCGTGTCCTCGGTGGTCAAGTACGCATTGCTGGGGGTGATTGCTTACTGGCTGCTGTGTGCTGTGCTGCGTGTTGGCGTAGTGTTGCTAAGGCGAGTCTTCTGGCTCGTGAAAAGCATCGTCGTCGTCTGGCTCTTCGTCCGGATCATCAGCGACCCGACCGCGGCGCCCGACACCACAGCAGTGCGGGTGTCATTACTGGTCATTTTCTGTGCTGTGGTGAGCGTGGCCTCCGGGAGCATTAGTGGGACAAACTCGGCCTGCCTGGAGAGTCGGCTGAGCACCTTGGAAGGAAAAGTCAAAGTGATGGAGAAGAGGAAAACGGAGTGATGTGCGACTAAATAAAATAAGAGATGGAGGAAAAGAGCTGAGGGTGGCGATGTAAACAATGGGACTTCATATACTGCAATAAAACAATATTTTGGTGTGTTACTGTTTTTTGTGGATCCCTGAACTTGTTTTTGCTCGTTTACTTTAGTGTCCACATAAAGACTTTATATTCAGTTTAGCTCCTTAAGTTAGCAGAGGAACAGTTAAAGCGACACTTTAGTAAAAAAGAATAATTTCACTGTTGTTAAAGAACTATTAGATGAATTTGCACCAATTTATGATTAGCTCATGTCAATTATGAGCAGGTTTGGTGTCTGACATTCTTTATTTGTTTAGTTTTGAGCTGGAGCTTTGGGGATAATGTAGCTAACAAGTAATGGAAGCTCATAATTAGCATGTTTATATTACTAATCACCTTTACTGTTTCAGAAACATGTTTTCAAATCACTAGAAGGGACCAATTTGGAAAGTTTATCCTAAAACCCTGCTGCAGCATCAGGGTATGTTTACAGCTGCAGTTTGTACTTTTGTCCACCAGGTGTCACTAAAGTGAAACAGTTTAAAAGCTTTAAAGCAACACTATGTAGGGTTTGGGGATTTGGAGACCTCTATGGTGGAGTTATGTAATTGCATGCAATGTGCTAAAGAACTTTGTGGTATGTTGCTTGTGCTTCGGACCCCGAAAAGCAAATGAATCTGACTTCTGAGAGTGTGTTGAAAGAGAATTCAAAGAGAACTCAAAAAAGTCAAGACTTGGTGAAGGACCTAAACATCAAACCAGACCTTCTTTTTGAGTTTGTGCATGTGACATTAATACATAAAGATGTTTGATGTGGTCCTAGAAACTTGCGCCAAATCCGTCCCGGGTCCTGTGAGTTCATAAAGGTTATTTCAGGCTTTACTGGGCGACTCACAGCAGTGCACAAGTTTCAGTTTTTAACAAAAATATTACATAGTGCTGCTTTAACTAATTAACCATTTTCTGATACAGTGTAAAAGAAAACTTCACTACTTCAGAAAGCTTGATTTGGCCACCTGTAGCAACTGCATGACTGAATGATCATGCACTTGTTAAGTAATGTCAAATATATTTGTTTATGTGGTTTCAGACATCTTGGCTGATTAGCTATTTTTGGGAAAAGGGGAAAATTGTGTATATTTTATCATCTTTAAAGATGATTTCATGACTTAAATAGTTTAAACAGACATAAGTGCCGCACATGGAATAACTAATGGATTAAAACCACTCAAGACTTCTGTGTCATTGGAGGTTCAGATTTGTGTTTGTGGCTCAGTTGTAATCATGGCATTGTGGACCTCAGATACTCTCTGAATTCACTCAAGAATATACGTCGCACATTTCCTCAGTGTGCGCATGAAAGGTGTTACTGGCATCATCAGGGGTCAGTTTCTGTAGGCAGTAGTGAAGGGAGCTGTGGGAAACCATTGCCCTGCACATTTCATGTTATTTCCCTGACCTAACACACCTGGAGCCTCTTTTATAAAACATTCATATGCGCAGCTTTGATCCTAAAAATGATTTATAAAATGAATTTGACATTAAAATATATGTACATTAATGAAATCCAGCCTGATGTATGAAAGGCAGTGCCAGTGTGCTACAGGCATTATAGTCCACAATTCATAAACACTGCATTTGCATAAATCAATTGTATGTAGATGCTAAGAACTTATGAGTAAACGTAGAATGAAACTCAGGTATGTTTTATTAATGAGACCCCAGATTCCAACATAGGCGTCAGTTAACAAGTCCTTAGTGAGTTGGATCAGATGTTTGCACGAAGAGCCATATTTCAGACATTAAAGCCATGATTTGTCTCAGTTGTCCTCTTGCTGCAGTTGAAAGCGTGTAATGATTTAGTGGTCATTGCCACTGGAGCCTGAGTGCTACAGTAAACTGTGTTGCCACTACCATCAGTCTCTTAAAACCAGTGGTGGATCGGACACAGCAGTGCTGCTGAAGTGTTTAAACACCTCAGTGTCACTGCTGGACTGAGAATAGTCCACCAACCAAAAATAGCCATTCAGCAGTGTCCTGTGACCACTGATGAAGGACTAGAGGTTGACCAACACAAACTATAACACATGAGCTGTCATCTCTACAAGGTGGACCAACAAGGTAGGAGTGTCTAATAGAGTGGACGATGAGTGAGCACAGTGTTAAAAAACCACAGCAGCACTGCTGTGTCTGATCCACTCGTACCAGCACAACACACACTGACACACTACCACCACATCAGTCTTTTGGTAGAAGTGGGGGGAGGGAGGGGTACGGCCAACAGAATTTTTCATTGGCTCGGCCATGTCTTTGTTTGACCTGCAAGTGGTTTTAGGCCTCCATTACTTGTTATCTACATTAGTCTTGTATCTCCTTTGCAGAACTAACAGAAATGGACAGAAGTACTGGGACAACTACACATTACACGCACAGGACATCCCATTCTAAATCCATAGGCATTAATGGAGTTTGTCAGACACTGATGTTGGACAAGAGGTGTTTGATGGGGTTGAGGTCAGGGCTCTGTGCAGGCCAGTCAAGTTCTTTCACACCAGACTCACCCAGTCATGCCTTTATGGAGCTGCTTTGTGCACTGGGGCTCAGTCATGCTGGAACAGGAGAGGTTCTTCCCCAAACTGTTCCCACAAAGTTGGAAGTGTACAACAGTCCAAAATGTCTTGTTATGCTCTATTCAAGGGTTCTAGACTAACCCCTGAAAAACAGCCCCATATCATCATCCCTCCTCCACCAAACTTTACAGCCGGCACAGTGCAGTCAGGCAGGTAACGTTCTCCTGGCATTCGCCCAACCCAGACTTGGCTATTAGACTGACAGATAGTGAAGTGTGATTCATCACTCCACAGAACACGTTTCCACTGCTCCAGAGTCCAGTGGCAGCGCTTTACACCCCTCCGTCCAACGCTTGGCATTGTTCATTTTGATCTTAGGCTTGTGTGCAGCTGCTCAGCCATGGAAACCCTTTCCGTGAAGCTACTAATGCACAGTTCTTTTACTGATGTTGCTTCCAGAAGCAGTTTGGAACTCTTTTGTGAGTGATTCAACAGAGGATCAGTACTGTGCACCTCAGCACTCGCTGGCCCCACTCTGCTTCGTGGCTAAGCTGCTGTTGCTTCCATTCCACAATAATAGCACTTACAGTGGTCTGGGGCAGATCTAGCAGGACAGAAATTTCACAAAACGCCATGTTTAAAGTCACTGAGCTCATCAGTACGATCCTCTACTGCCAGTGTTTGGTAATCGAGACTGCAAAGCTATGTGCTTGATTTTATCCACCTGTTAGCAACGGTGTTTCAGCCACACCTGACCTCAATAATTAGGAGGTGTGTCCCAGTACTTTTGTCTATGTAGTGTATCTTGGCTTATCGACTACATTTAAGGGGAGAATTGTCACTTTTTATCACTTAAATGTAGTGTGCTGCACCTAAACAGACAGAAATCACATGTGGGTCACAGTTGTGATGAACTTGCATTCTAAGTTCACAGTTATAAATATGTGTGCCTGAAGCTGCACTCTAAGCAATGTTCAGCATTAACGGCTCCAGCTTCATTCAGAGCATAACTCAGAAGACTGAACTGAGCTCTCCTTCTTGGATGCTGTTTTTATGACCCAGTTCTCACCACTTTGGATTTTTATAGACATGTTTTTCACTCTCGCTGTTCATCTACACCATGAATCAAAAAAGCACGACAAGCTCCTGCTGGGAGGAGAATCTGTTTGCTTCCATACAGCGCTATGTAAAGGTTTGTATGCAGATAATGAATGAGAAATGGTTGATGTGTTACACCCTGTAATACATGTCTGTCGCTCCTGCACTGTTACTGTCGAATTATATACATGGCAGTTAAGTAGCACCTAATTATAGTCCACACCTAAACCTCAGGATGAAGAAAATAAACAAGCAACAAACAAAAACAGGTAACTGTCAAGAGGACCCGTCTGCTGGTCCCCTACTTAAGTGTGGACTGCTTATTTGCTGTGACCTCTTTGGTCACACAACAATGGTTGTGTGAGAATTCAGGTGATCATGCCAACACAGCTGTGTTGAAGGAGAAAGAATTGGTGAAAACATATAAGTGGGTAACGTGTTTGAGTCTCCCAGCAATAAATAAAAGATAAAAAAGCCAGCTACACATGACCAAGTCATGGATTATGGGCTAGGCAGAGGGTCACCGGGCCGATTCTAGCCAGGGGTTTCTTCTTTCATTATCAAATTTCAAGAACTTGCATTTGATACATAGATGAGGACCAGAATTGCTATCAGCTCCACTTAAAAAATCTAAAAACATAATAAATAAATAATAAAAAAAACATAAAAAAGCTAAAAAACATAACAAATAATTGCCGAAGTTCAGAGATACATTATCCAAGCATCAGAAGGCTTTAAATTATTCTATTAATTTTATTATTCTATCATTATTATTACATCTATTAATAATAATAATAATAATAATAATAATGAACAAGATTGTTATAGCAATTACCATAGAGCAATGACTATTAGAGCTAGGGCTTCAGTTCAGGCCACAAAAGTAAAAAAACAGCTCTGTTAATGTTAGATGTTCATTTCTGCTAGCTCCCCTATGGGATTTTAGTAGTATGTTATCGGTAGTACTTTTTCTAACCCAACCCTAAACTTAGACATTTAAAGAGACACGTAAAGAGATTTTATTCCAGGTCTTTTTGCTCAAATGACATAGAAAAATGAAAAAAAAATGGAGATACTACGTATTTTTCTTGACGGCAACAATATAATATTCCTTGTAGTAGTTTTATAGTGGCAATATTAAACTACCAACTGGATGAAACCCCTGAATTAAACCCCTACCACTTGTATTCACAGTCAGAGATGTATCTAGGACTTCTAGGTCTAGACTGACACAAAATTGGCCCCACCCACTCAATCAAAATGTGATTAGGAACTGACAGTGGAATCAACTAATCATATTTGTGGGAAATCTGAGACACTAGGCCTTCAGTTCAACTCCTGAAGACCTTACCAATGGGAGAGCTCGCTTGGCTGTATCTGGATACCACAGAGGGAAATAATCCTGCTTGGACAATTTTGTTTCAAGAATTTAACTTGCAATTAAACAATGAAATGAGAGTTTTACTACACAGAGTTTAAACACAGCAAGCATGATTATTATATAAAAAAATGAACTAAAAATTACAGACATATTTTTTATTTCACCGAGATTATAAACGCTGATGGTTCCCCACTGCCACAGATGTACTGGGACGCATAAGGACCCCTTAATGCGTGTGTTATTGAACAATATTCACGTCTCCACTTCCCGCAAAATAAATAAATGTAATTAAGAATGTAAAAACAAATGAACCAGATAAGACATTTTTGGTGTCCAAAGTTTGCTTCTTTAGTTCTGCTGTGGAGCAACAAGGATAATATGAATGATGTTACTGGCATCATTAGCTTCGCAGTTCCAGCGCAAAACCATACTTTGGACAGCAAACATGTCTCAACTGATTTATGACTGGGTTGTGATAACAGGGAAAACTGGGTAAATTACATTTATCAGTAGATTTTTCGCTGTTCCTTCAAGCTGGCAGATGAAATTAAGGAGACGAGAAACTCTTTAAGATTTTTATGTACAAGTCACAAAACTGTGCACGCAAAGGTAATACAAAAATAGAACAAAATTACATAAAACATATATGAAAGAGATAAATAAATACAAAGACACCTTCAATTTCTTCCAAACATGATTAGTGTTACCACAATTACAAAGGCTACTGGATTAATGATCATATTTATTCCTTAATAAGAGCAGTTAGAGTCGTTTTTTTCAATTAAACTGCTCTTTTTGGGTGAACAAAAGCAACAACGTCCATGAAAGACTTTTTTTTTTACATATTAGAAGAGATTTGTAGAAAATGTACTGTTGGATAAAAAAAAAAGAGAAATAAATTGAGTCAAATTTAAGACCACCTTTTCTGAATCAACTATTAAAACCTCTGCTATCAGGCCTGAACGTGTAACTTAAAGACAAAAGAGTACATATCTTAACCTTTTTTGTCAAACGCTTTCTTCTGAAGGGTCCAATTCCCAAGTCTCAGGCGCCAAAACGGTGAATCAGTTTCAGATTATATCGCGTACACCCACCACAAGTCTGTGTTTATCTGTGTTCTTTTGTGCAAAAAAGGGTGAAAAGAAACATCTGGAGTACTGGGACGAGTTAATATCTGTGTGCAAACATCCTGTATAGAAGCGTGGCATGCGTGGGCTCAGCCTGCCCGGCTTCCTGTCTGGTTTTACTGCACAATCTGGGGCATTTCGCTCCAGGCTTTGGCTTTCTTCTTGGCCAGAGCCAGCCATGGAGGCTCATCCTGGGATAGAGGAGCTGGAGTTGGGTGGCTGATGGTTCGCTTGTTCTCCTTTCTCCACCAAGGCTGGTTTGGATATCTCCAAGGAGCAGGACACTGGTCAAAGAAAAAAAAGGTTACATACAGTGACAGTTATTTGGGTAATACTTTATCTGAAGTCTGCTTACACAGTGACTTAATAACACATGCCTTAGTATTGAATAGCAATATAAAAGCAATACGTGAATATTTATGAACAGCTTATGCCAGCAAACGCAAGATGATTCAGGATGTTTAATGAAGTCAATGACATTGTATTGATGTAAGAAGCCTTAAACTAAAGGGCAACACTTTATTTGAATGCTACCTGCATAAGGACTTTATAACACATGAATAAGTATTGGATTAACCTTTCATATGTCACATGCAGTAACTGGCATTTATAACAACTAAATATAAAGTGTCTTTTTAATTACACCCTTGTTAAATGCTGTATCTGCCTTATATTTGCCCAGTAACAGCAAATAATGTATTGTGAATAATATTAATTCTAAATTATCAGAGTTATTGAAACTGTTCAAAATTAATCAGTAAAAAGTGCTGCAAGACAGCACAGACAATAGTGTCAGCACAACAGCAGCACTGGACTCTTTCTACATGTGTCCACTAGAGGGCAGCAGAATATCAACTTTATTTCTAGATCAGTTCTCAACACATTTGGCACCCTGTAAGCTGTCCTCAAAGCTGTCCTATAAACAGATTAAAGCTTTCTGTTGTTGTTGTTGTTGTTGTTGTTGTTGTTTGTTGGTGTACTTTGAGGTCCAAACAGAATAACCTTCAATAACTAAAAGCCTGTACTGCTAAGCTTTCTAAAATAGGTGAAGCAGGAACATTTTTACCTTTAACAGGTGAAGCAACAGGTTTCAGTTGATCTTTGGTGACTGGACTTGACAAATCAGGCAACGAACCCTTTTTGTTGAATTCCTCCTACAAAAAAAACAAAAAATTGTAAAGAATTTTACAAAAAAAAAATTCTTGAGGGCAGGGTAAGTGAAGCAGTTCAGAAAAGGTATCTTCTGGCCATGCATAGTCAAAACATACTGACATGAACACACAATTGACTGTCGATCGTCTGTTGTGGTTTAGATATTAAAAAGATAAGTGCGTTTATGGAATTCCCCGGATCTAACCACACAGCATATTTCCCAAGTTACGACATGGAAAGAATGAGTGTACTATAAATGGTGGGATTATGATTGATTGTTGTCTTAAGAGGAATAACAAACAGCAAACGCAGCTGGGTTTGTGTTGCTTGGATCGACAGCATGACTACAGCCATGCCGTACATACCTGCACCAGTGTCTAAAACAGACAACACATCATTTAAGGTGTTGGTTAATAGATTATGAGGCCTACTAAGTGTAGTAAAGTGGTGATGAAAGAAAAAATACTCAGGTGGATTCAGCAGAGAGCACGACTGTTAGTTGTTTGAACAGACTAAACCATGATTCTTACATGATCAGGCCCAAAATTATTACCACCATCAATGTGAACAAGGTCATATTTAGCAATTTTGCGAGTTGGGATAGGAGCACTCACCTTTTTTTCGGGGGATTCCTCCAGAGAGCTGAAGATTTTCTGCTTCTGTCTGGCCACAGAGATCCAGCTTGGAGGCTCAGAGCTCTCAACCGGCACTTTACCCACTGCCACATCTGTACAAAGAACCAAAACATGGCAAAAGATTCTGTCAACCATATAATTTCATGCATTTATTTCTTTATTTATATTGACCGATAAATAGAGACCTGTCACAATTATTAGTCAGTGGTTATGGTACCTTAACAGATGTGCAATATACCCATGCTATTGGCACTTGTACCCCTCCGCCCCATAACATGACAGATCCTAGCTTTTGAACTTGAACCCATGGTCTATTATTTCCATTAAACAGTCTGAAGGTGGACTTTGTCAGATCTCAGCATGTTTCTACTGTGCATCAGTCCATTTCTAATGAGCTCGAGCCCAGAGAAGTCGGCAGCGTTTCTGGCAGTTGTTGACATATGGCTTCTGCTTGTAGTGCTTACTGACAACGATTGTTAAAGTTTTCCTGAGCTCACAAGAATACAGAGAGGCATGCCAGTTTTAAATGCAGTGCTGACTGAGGGGTCGAAGGTCACAGGCATTCTGTTGTGGTTTTTGGCCTTGCTCTTTAATGCATGACTTTTCTTGATTCCCTGAATCTTCTGATGATATTATGCACCCTAAAGGGTGAAATATCTAAAATCCTTGCAAATCCTTGCAAACATTTTTCTCAAACAATTGATTTGCTGGTGCATTTTCTGGCAAAGTGGCGAGAATAACACACCCTTACCTATAATGCACCGTGCGTCTTTTCCTGGATGTTCCTTTAATACCCACACATAAATATAATGTTTTATGAACATTTAACCACATTCCAAGTCCCCTATCCCAACTTTTTTGGAACATGTTGCAGGCATCAATTTTAGAGTTAGCGTATATATATACAAAAAACAATGAAGTTGGTAATATAAAACATTAAATGTCTCTAAATGCTGCTTCAATATAAGGCTCAACTTTTTTGGAGTGCAGTTTGTATGTATTAACTTGATTAAGTCCATGTAAAGTCATCACTGTGGATAAAATATTGATTAAGTCATCTTTTTAGTGTAATCTTCAAAATACATTTACTAAACTGTGTTTCAGATGTAGTTAATGTAAAGCTGTGGGATTGTACGGCTCAGAATTCATTCCTCATCCATTTTATTTTAATGTTTATGTGTTTAGTGAAGCATCTTGCATAAATTCAATCAACTTCATTTTGTCATGGCTATTTTTACTGTCGTAGGATGGACGAAAGGACATTCGGGTTGTGTGATGTATAGGAATGTGAAATATCATCCAATATCATCATCATTACATCTGAACCAGTTTTGTATCAATAATTTTTTTATGTTTTTAAGAGATAAATGACAAATGCAAAATGGATATCATCTGAATGTCATCTGCTGAAATGTTCCCTGAAAAGCAGAATATGTATGTTCGTGTTATGTATAGAGGTAATGTGTATAATGTATATTTATAATCTTACATATTATACACTAAACATCACAGAGTGAGTTTTCAGTTCATTATATTGTGTGATTGCTACTGATTGCTAATAATGATTATGTAATTGTAATTAAGTGTTGGTTATGTTTATGCATATGCAATGAATATTTCATATACATGTAGTTCCTGTAAAGCGTTACAATACAGCCAACTTTTAGTCCAAAATCAGCCCACTAACAAAATCCTCAGTCGAGAACAACCAGGTCCTACCTGAGGTTCGCTTGGGCTTCACCACACCATCAACCAGCTGATCTGGCTTCTTGGGCAAGGCAGGCTTTCTGGCAAGCTGGTCCAATATTGGGGCCTTATGTGTCTCTGCTGGCTCTGGTTCTGTGGTGGAACCGGTAGTGGAACTTTCTCCTTCTGAAGCATAGCGGTGCAGAATTGCAGTCTTTCTCAGACGAACTCCAAAAGGGTTCTCTGGGGTCACGTCTTCATTAGCCTGGCAAATCTCTCTCTGGATGGGCAGGGACGGCACACTCTGAGTGAGGACGGGGCTGCTGGGACGCTCAGCTTTTACAGCTTCAAAAGGCTGATCTGTGCTCAGGGATTCTTTGAATACAGGTTCCTCTTCTGCTGTAGAGACTGCCACATCTAGGGAAGGCTCCTTGGCAGACCCACTGGACAGTGACCTCTGCCAGGCAGGAGCGATTGTAAAACGGGGTCGACTTTCAGCGGCGTTTGGCTGGTGCTTATCGGTTGACGGCTCCTGTATCTCCTGATGGTCATCAGCCAACTGAGGGCTTTCCGAAGACTCTTCTTGAAGTCCTTCCAGATTGTCCCGCTGCTCATTGGCCTCCTCTTGCAGATTTTCAGGCTCATCCTCCTCCTCAGCCTGCTTGGGGATATTTGAGGCTCTACTAGGAAGACTGAGATCAAGAGAGGTGGTTACCACAAAAGAAGGCTGCTCGATTGACCCCTGTGTAGGAACATCTTCAGGCTGGCTCACAGTCTCTGTTGAGACCAGGTCATCTTCAACCGATTGCTCCAATTCGTGGATGCTTTCAACTTCCGTGCTCATGTCTTTTCTGACCTCATGTTGTTCTTCAGTCTCAAATGGATGCGCCTCATCTTCGGTCTCATTTTCTTCTTCTGCTTCTGGTTCATCAGCATCTTCCTGCTTGTGTTCCTCAACGACCACCTCTTCCTCTTGCTCGGCTTCTACATCCTTTACCTCTTCTACATCTTCCTCAGTCCCCCTCTCCTGCTCCTCATTCCTGTTGTCCTCCACCTTTTCTTCATCCTCTAGTTCCACCCCCACTTCTTCCACAGCTTCTTTCCTTGTCTCAATCTCTTCATCCAGGTCCTCCTGCAAGTATTTTGTGTCATCCAGGTCTTCCTCATCCTCATCCTCATTCTTATACTCCTCTTTCTCAGCCTCACCTTTGGACACTTGCTGATCTTCTTCAAATGACGCTTCCTCAGTAAATTCCTGTTCCTCTGGCTCCTCGTGTTGCTCTGGAGCTTCTTCTACCTCTTGCAGATCTTCATCTGATTCAGAGAGACTGTCTGAAGCTGGCGTTATATGTTCCTTAAGAGTTAAGGCTTGATCTGTGGAGTCAAGGACGTCTGGGGTGTCATTCCTGGCCTGGTTATCCAGCACATGTTCCACCTAAGGTAAAACAGAACAAGATTTAACACTTAAATGCAGAAATGTTTCACCAAACATTTGTTCATGCATCGGGTTATTAGATCAGACAGACTGCTCTAAAAAATTCATAACCTGTACAAACATTCAGCATCATCTACATGCTGTCAAACGCTCGCTGTGCAGAAAATTGATGGGATATATGTACAAACTTTATAATATATAATATAAATACATGCGATACAAATGTAGTTCATATAACCTTTTTGAAGAAAAACATTTTTTTCTTTTCACAATTCTGCCATTTTGCTATTAGTAAATTCATCAAAACAAAGGTATTTGGTGGATACTAAGGAGATGGGGGTCTAACATAAAAGCAGTGATGAACTACGAATGTTAGAAGCCTCCAGTTTGGGCCACAAATGTAAAAAGTCATTAAAAATATAGAGCTGATATAAACACAGAGAACATAGAGCCGTAACTGCTGTTTTCCATTTCAAACAAGTGACCGAGACTCATATTCACAGTCAGTAATGTATCTAGACCTTCCAGAAGACCTAGAGTGTTGTTTTCTTAGAAAATTAGTCTTAAACTTTGGAAATCGAACATGATTGGTTGATTTCGCAGTCATTTAGGTTAGTGATTCAATTTTACAAATTAGGCCCTCACGGCAGCTCCTGAAGTCCTAACTAATCGAAAACGTTGCCTGGCTGTATCTGTCTAGATACCAGAAAGAAAAAAAAATCCTAACTGGACAATTTTTTGTTGGATGCTTTAAATTTTCAATTTAAATTTTTCAATCTAACCTTTTCCACACAAACAGCTCCATTTAACTGTTCCCAACCAAAACTTAACAATGAATTTAGAGAATTACTACAAAATACCAGGGGAGGGGAAATGAGGTCACTAGTGACGAGAGGTATACATTTGATTTATGCTGAGTTACCAATGAGTAACTATTACAGAGACCAAATTCTCTTTAAAATTAAAGTTTCAAATATGTCAACATCAAAGGGCTTGCTATCCCAGTAACTATATGAACCCCAATGCAAAATGACCGATTTATTATTGTTAAGACGTTGTAATGAGGGATGGAAGTCTGACCCTGCAGCGAACGTTACCTCCATCTGTTCAGCCTTGTCCTCGGGCTCCAGCACCAAGCCTGACGTAAGGGGACCCTTCAGGGAGCTCAGTACTTCCTCCAGCAGTGACCCCTGCTCCTCTGAAACAACCTCACACCCAGCATCCAGCAGGAAGTCATCAGCCTGGAGCTCCAGAGTCACTGGCTTCTCCCAGGAGGATTCTGGGATCTTGGAGTCAGGGATGTGATCTTTGTCAGGGAAACGTTCCTCCTCCTCCTCCTCCTCCTCCTCAGAAGTCTCAGCAGAGGCGCCGGATGTTGTGGATGCTCTTTGGCTTTGAGAAGAGGCTTCAAGGTCCTCATTATGCACTGCCGGGCTTGGCTGAGACTCTTCCCGTGCTTCATCGACCTCCTCTACAACCTCTGAAACATCAGCTGATGGAAAATTTGACTGTTAGTTCAGGTTTTCTACACCAGCGGTTCTCAATTCTGGTCCTGGAGTATCACTGTCGGGTATATTTTAGAGCTTCCCCTGCTCCCAACACATCTGACACAACTAATGAACTACTTAACAGGTCCTTTCTTAGGAGAACCGAGCGCATTAGAGCAGTAAAAACACTCTAACATGCAGGGAAGTGGTACTCCAGGACTCCAGAACCACTGTGCTAGACAAAGACATTTGAGGAAAGGATCTTTTTCTGTTATCAAGGTTTCAATGAGTCTTCGAGAAGAGCAATCAATCAGAAGTACCTTCATTCTCTTCCTCTTCGGGTACATGTTCTGATGGCTCTCAGCTTGTCCTCTGTGTCTCTGAGCAGCACTCTTTCTCTCAGGTCTCTTTTCTTGCTTTGTAACATCTCCCTCTAAACAGAAGCAGGACATTTCGGGTTGAGATTGGAGGTTAAAACAGCTCCAGTAAAGACAGTGATTTTGACTGTCTGTGCCTTTTAAAACGTTTTAATACAAACGAGCAAAGCTTTCTTTGTCCGTTTGCAATAGCTTGACAAAGACTAACCAAGTTTAATTTGTGGAAATCATGTAAACATTTGGGACAACATTTGTGGCAGTTCTAGCCTGTTAATAAGCCCACACATCTGATCTCCTTGTTGGGAGGTCAGCACTGATGAGCACTCAACCCTTTCCAGTGTTTATATTACTTTGGGACTAAAGGCTTTGTACATTAGCTTTTAACATTGTCAACTAATGTCAGTGTATCCAAATTACTAGCATAAACATCATTTTATGTTAAATTATTTGGAGGTATTATTTCTTAAAGGGCCCATATACTACATTTACATACACAACTCCTACAAAATGCATCAGCATCCTAACAAAAACGAAACCGTTAAAACCCGTTTTAAAGAACCGAGCTGACTACCTGTATCGTTCAGGATACATTTTAAAGTTCTGCTACTATTTTAAGGCTTTAAATGACCTTAAAGAACCACTTAGATCTGAAGATCCTGGCCTTCTGCAAACACCTTCAGTAAAATACAGAAAACATTTGTTTAGTTATTCTGCTTCTAAACTGTGGAGCTCAGTTCACCTTTTATTAGACAGCCAGTCTCAGTGCTCACTTTAAAAGCTTCTGAAAATGTGTCTCTAACTCTAATTTGATCTGTCATTTTATTATATGATTCTAAATTAATACCTATCATTTCTTGTATTACAGTTTAACTTTATCACCTGTCTGTAAAGCACTTTGAGCTGCCGACAGCATTTACAGTGCTACATAAAAAAAAATATATTATTATCACTATTATTATTATTTTTTTCCTAAGGTCCAATTATAATGTTTGAAGTGTTCTTTCCGTTTTCAGCTATAATTAATTTGTACATAATCATTTTCCAATCTCTCTTTATTGCGTACAATTAAACAGGCTGTTTTTGTTACTGTGCCAAATGAGCTCTGTTCTGACTGGCTGGCCTGTATTGAGCCTCATTCAAATAGCAATTCACGCTGAAACACTCCTTATAACACCATTATGAAGGGGCGGGGCTAAACTGCTGAAGGTTGAGTAGGCGAATATATGCAAATGGATCACTTTCTGTGACATCACAAGAACAGTGAATTCAAAACAGGCTGTTTTAGCAGCTTAGTTTTCTTTGGGAGCGAACAGTAAATTTTAAAACTTTAAATCTCAAACGTTTTATGTATTTTAGTATGTTAAAAAAGTGAGGGAAATTAATATTTTCATGATATGGGCACTTTAGTGGAAAAGTAACAGTGAAAAACAAACATTATTTAAAAGTTTTCAAAACAGTGTGTGTATTTCTGCACACTTTCAGCATTGTGTAACCTGCTTGGCTGATTTTAATTTTAATGTATGTGCAAAACTAATAAATATCTTTAGCTAATTTCAACACTTTCAACTAAAAAAAGTGCACAAAATGATTTAAACATGAGCTTTAGCTTCCAACAAAGTGAACAAATGGGGGGAATGGAAGGGATTTCTCACACTGGCAGGCTTCCTCTTAGCGCAGGCCTTGGCTTTGACAGCGATGCGATGGTGAGCCGCAGAGCTATCCAGGCAGGAGAGCGAGCTGGCCGGCTGACTGAAGTCCACAGGGACCGAGGCCTGCGGGGTTCCCGGCCTAGATGAGGCTCCGTAAGACAGCTACATACAGAGGAACAGAAGCAGAGAGGAGGAGACAAACAGAGGAGAACAGTCACACTCTCTGCATAATCAGCCTCAGCATAAAACATGTCGTTGATAAAGTATCTCCCTGTTATATGACAACACATACATGATGGATTATGAAGAAAATGCATTAGGGAGATGGACTTATCTCCAGAACCAGCCAAAGGTTTGGACAAACTTACTCAGTCACAGAAAAAGTTGTTGCCTTGATGAAGCTTTGCACACTCTTGGCAGTCTCTCAACCAAAGCCACAAGAGATGCTTTCTCAACAGGCTTAAAAAAAGACCCACACATTCTGGGACCTTGTTGACTGCTGAAAACTTGTTTGGGAGGCGTTTGATTGATTTATTTATTTTTTTGGAAGTACAGTAAACCAAGCATTGGGACACTTTAACCATTGGTTACCTAACAACATGCTACTTGTTTCCAGAAACGACTTTTAGCACAGCATCAATTTGATGGTAGACTACTTGTATGGAGAAAGCCTTTAGAAGGACTCCAACCAGACTGCAGCACATGTGATGTAAAACACAGTGGTAAAAACGTCTTGTTTTTCTTACAGTATTCATTGAATCATGAACTCAGAAGTATAAGAAGGGAATAGAAGTAAAGAAGAAACTGCTCAAATGATAACTTCTTAAGGAATACAGGGCTAAAAGCAAAACAACAGCCTTGAAATGCTCTACACTGTTAGAAATAAAGGTTCTCTGCAGGTACATTTTTCATTCATCGAGGTACAAACAAGGTAAATGTTCCCTCAAAGGTACAGCAGTGGTTTTAGGGTCAAATTATGAACCTTAAATAAGTCTTTCCAGGTGAAAAGTCTGTATTTGTATCTTTTCATAACCGAAAGTTTTAAACAGAACAGCCTGGAGACAAGACGGGGTGTGTGGAGTCAGTACAGCTTAGAACATATCATTTCAGTGGATTATGGTACAGTTATGTTCCCTGACTAAAGGTACTGAGATGTACCCTTGAGGGTCCCACTCCAGTGACAAGAGGGGCACTGACCCCAGTGACAGTTTACTACCTTTATTTCTGAGAGTATATTTAAAATCAATGGTTTGACACTTTTTTTGTAAGTCACTCTGGATAAGAGCGTCTGCTTAATGCTGTAAATGAAAATGTAAATTTGTTTCCTAACACAATGAACTTAATACATTCTGAGGCCAATGTAAATTCATACATATTTATACTTATATTTATATTCATCATAGAAACACATTTCAGCCATTTGAAGTCCAAGTTTTATCCTTGTTAATTAATATAATTCACTAATTTCACTGGTCATATCAAACATGACACATCTTGCTATATCATTTAGACGCAAAATACTTGTTTTCCTAACATTTCTGATGGACGTATAGTCAAAATAGTGTGAAAAGTGAAGTATGGTGAAAAACTGACTTGATAAAATGCTGACTTGAACCCATTTAAGCCTAAAGACTAAATAAGTCCAGTAAGAAAATCAGATGCTGTAGACAAATCATTGATTTCATTTTCAGATTTGTGCTCTTTAGAGCACTAAGAACTGCTGTAGTAAAGGAAATGTAAAATATCCAGTATGAACATTAAAGGGTGATTCATACGTCTCTAGATCAAAACGTCAAGAGGTCATAAAAAACACATTTCAATTACATGTTTCCACAGTTTTGACTGGTACTGTATGTTTTAGTGCTTAATAATTCAGTAAAATAATAATTTTGCTTTTGTGGTGCTTCAAACGCCACAAAAACAAACACTTATATACAAGTGAGTCACAGGAGCTCATGGGATTATTAGAGACTACACGCTTCTAAACTATTTAAATTGCTAGATAAGCCACATCCTTTGGCATATAGCCTTTCTTTTGCCATACTGTGAGGAATAGGTGGGTAAGTTCATTCATTTCCTTCCCACAGTGAACCACCCAACACATACAGTAACATGTTTTTGCGGCCCGCTCTGCTTTAAGGTCACACTTGGCTAAGAATAGCCTTTTAAAGTGCTCTTTCTCCTCATTTGAAGGCTCTAAACATCCAACAGTTTATGCGAAACTCCAAACTCAAATTCCTCAGCGCACAAAAAGCAGACTCTCTCCTCTCAGCTTACTCAACTCTGACTGGTGTCTTTAGTTATTTCCTCTTGAGAAACAAAAGGAAAAACAAAAAGGTCTGTCAAGCTGTGTAAACAGCAAAGTCTGCATTGCTGTGGTCAGACATCATCACCAGCGTCTCGAGGTGTGAGAAAGCCTTTCTTTCAACATGAAGTACTCAAACGTGTACAGTTTCTTAAACCTGATCTTACAGAAAATAGCTTAATATCCATCACCTGTAGAGTGAGGTTTTCATCAAATAGACCACAACAGTTACTACCACAACAGTTTTTTTCCTAGTCAAGTTTAAGGTACTGTACAGGGGTCATGCATTCTCTACAGACTTATGATTACATGATCTCTAACTGACCACACATCTACAGCAAAAATAAAACAAAATAAATATATATATAAAAAAATACATTTTCTCAGAGGCAGACTTAGTAGCTAATACTGCACCTTAACCCTTGTGTGGTGTTGGGGTCTGTGGGACCCATTTTGTTTATGTTTACCAAAATAAAAAATTGTCATTTATTATTATTTCCACCTCAGATTTGCTCATTTTCTGTGAAGAACATATAAAATAACACATTTTCACCCCCTACACATTTATATTACACATGTGGTGTTGGGTGAACCCGCAGGGAATGAAAGTGTGGAGGTGCTGTGTCCTTCACTCTGTTCTCCTCCTACATGGCCTGCTGCTAGTGTCTGTGTGTATGTGTTTGTATATGTGTTTGTGAGGGTGGACAACATGCACAGGCTGCTGACTGGCTACAGCTGCTAAAGGAGAACCCTCCGCTGGGCCACTTGTGATATTTTAAACATCTTGTATATTTACATAAATTGTTATGGCTGTATTGATTTACAATAATGTGGTGGGTCCACCAGACCACTGAGTAGCAAACACATCAACACTACACAAGGGATAAAGGGGAAGTCCACTGATTTTTTAAAAGTTGTGCATAATTAAATTGATGTAAACAAAGTCATTCAAAGTAGTTTGACGTTAAATTGCTCATTATTTTTACCTTATGTTTTGAGCCAAAACCTTACCTATAAAGTACCAATGTCTCGGGCATCAGGCAACATATTTGTAAGCATTATCTGTAATAATATAAATTGCTTTATGTTACTTTTGAGATGAGGTTTTGGCCTTAAATGAATATTTTTTAAACCAATCATGGCAGAGAGGTGCATGCAGTGCACCTCCCAAAGGATTTTCCATTATTCTACTATTTTCAGCATTACACCAAACCTCTGAAGACACGTGTAGGTTCACAGGTTGTTTTGGACAGCAAATATATAACGGATTTATTTGCATTGTAGACACTGAGACCCCTGGTTCCTACCACCATCATCATAAAGAAACCCAACTTCCAGTAAGTTTCTCAACAATTCAGTTTTACTTCTTTATTTATGACTAAAGGTTATATTGAAATTTTGAAAAATCTATGGAATTTCCCTTTAAATACTTCGGACGTCTAGTTCCCATCTTTACAACTGTGAACAAATTTGATTCGGTCAGTTTCTCCAGAAGGTCGTACTGTGACGATTTAATTACACAGAAATTTAGAAAAATTGGTGGAATTCCCCTTTTATTCCTGCTACTGACCACCCCTGCTCTTTCACACATTTTGAAACTGCTTGTTTCGATGGCACAGTTTCTGTTATTGTATTCAAATGAGCGGCACTTGTGAGGTCACATCCAGCACTGGAAAACAGGAAAATAACTGTCAGTCTAACAGACCGCAAGCAGTCGTCTCTGTGAGAACGCTGAGAGTGAATTAAAGCAGTAGTAGTAGTTAGATGAGGGTCAAACAACCGTGCAGAAAGTTAAAGTCAGCTTTGAAGTATGCATGATGCACATCTGCGCAGTTATTCACATGCAGCAACCGATAACTGCTACACTGCAATCCACAATTATAACTGAAGGGAGAAAGCAGCGTGCTCTCTTCTCTATTCTTGTGGGGTCACATGACTGTGTGATGGCTATGGGCAGTGAAAAGGCTGTGCTGCGAGTCGGGGCTGTGGCCAGCTTCAGCTTGGCAGCCGCTGCACCTCAGAATGCTGGAATAACCCATTTCTAGCAGAGCAGCAGACAGTAAGACTGCCACGGCGAGCCGCCGGAATGCAGCTTAGACCTCAACCACAACTTTGATGGCAACCCCTGCAGTGAAACAACACACGATAAATCCTACTGAAATGCACCGACGATCAGGAGGGCACAGCAAAGCTCACGGAGCAAAAGTTCATAGCCTAGTTATGTGTGGGAGAGGACACTGCAGGACCAGTCCACTGAAAAGTGTTGGATCGAAAGAGCATTAAACATTTTCTTCCTCAGGGCTTCGGGTATAAATTCAAATGGCCACAGTTATGATTATAGAGCACAACATTAGCACTAACACTTATCAGTATCAGTATTTGCCTCCTTGAACCCTGAGCTCATTATTCGTTTGTTTATGTTTCAATCTGAATTCAAAAGTGACCTTTTTCACCTTGTAAGCTCATGTCACTGGTCATATTAAGGGTGATTCACATCATTTAAAAAACAAATGTCTGGTTTTCTCATAGCCTTCCAGCACAATGGAGTGATTTTTGCATGTCTTCTCATTTTTGATTACACTGCTGTGCACCAATGGCTGAGGAAAAGTAATATTAATTATTAATATATCAGGTTTCATCTTCCCCTCCCATCACCTCTATCATCAAGAGAAACACTCAGCTGGCACAGGAATCCTTCATAATGCTGGGTTTCCCTCAGAAATAATGGAAAATGTGGTATTATTCTTCTTATTATACTTCATATTATTCAGTTATTATTAAGTTGTATGTAGTTATAACAGTGAGGAATTATATTCTTATTCAGTGTTACTCTATCAATATGGGATTAATGAATGAC